TCCTGCCTGTCTCTGGACCAATATCATGTAGTCTTTATACCTATTACTTTGTAGTACAGCTTGAAGTTAGGGATGGTGATTTTTCCAGAAGTTCTTTTATTGTTGAGAATGGTTTTTGATATTCTGGGTTTTTTGTTATTCCAAATGAATTTTAGAATTGTTCTTTCTATCTCTGTGATGAATTGAGTGGGAATTTTGATGGGGATTGCATTGAATCTGTAGATTGCTCTCAGAAAGATAACCATTTTTACTATATTAATCCTTCTAATCCTCGAGCATGGGAATTGTTTCCATTGTCTAAGATCTTCTTTGATTTCTTTCTTCAGGGACTTGAAGTTCTTGTCATACAGATCATTTACTTGCTTGGTTAGATTCACACAAAGGTATTTTATACTATCTATGGCTGTTGTGAAGGGTGTCATTTCCCAAATTTCTTTTTCAGCCTTTTTATCTTTTGAATAGAGGAAGGCTACTCATTTGTTTGAGTTAATTTTATATCCAGCCACTTTGCTAAAGTTGTTTATCAGGTTTAGGAGTTCTCTGGTGGAAGTTTTAGGGTCAATTAAGTGTACAATCATATCATCTGCAAATAGTGAAATTTTGACTTCTTCCTTTCCAATTTGTATCCTTTTAACCTCCTTTTTTCGCCTAATTGCTCTCAATAGGACTTCCAGTACTATATTGAATAGGTAGGGAGAGAGTAGGCAGCCATGTCCAGTCCCTGATTTTAGTGGGATTACTTCAAGTATCTCTCTATTTAGTTTGATTCTGGTTTGCTGTATATTGCTTTTACTATGTTTAGATATGGGCCTTGGATTCGTGACCTTTCCAAGACTTTTATCATCAAGAGGTGTTCAATTTTGTCAAATGCTTTCTAAGCATCTAGTGATATGATCATGTGGATATTTTTCTTTGAGTTTGTTTATATAGTGGATTACATTGATGGATTTCTGAATATTAAACCACCCCTGCATTCCTGGGATAAAGCCTACTTGATAATGATGCATAATTGCTTTGATGTGTTCTTGGATTTGGTTTGTGAAAATTTTATTGAGTATTTTTGCAAAGATATTCATAAGGGAGATTGGTCTGAAGTTCTCTTTCATTGTTGGGTCTTTGTGTGGTTTAGGTATGAGCTTAATTGTGGCTTCATAGAATGAATTGGGTACTGTTATTTCTGTTTCTATTTTGTGGAACAGTTTATAGAGACTTGGTATTAAGTCTTCTTTGAAGATCTGATACAAATCTCAACTAAAACTGTCTGTTCCTGGACATTTTTTGGTGGGAAGACTTTTAACGACTGCCTCTATTTCTTTCAGGGTTATGGGAGAGTTTAGATGGTTTATCTAATTCTGATTCAACTTTGCTAACTTGTATGTGTCTAGAAAATTGCCTATTTCATCCAGATTTTCCAATTTTGTTGAGTATAGGCTTTTGTGGTAAGATCTGGTGATTTTTTTAATTTCCTGTTTCTATTGTTATGTCTCCATTTTTCAGGACTGTTTTTATTAATTTGGATACTGTCTCTGTACCATCTGGTTAATCTGGCTAAGGGTTTATCTATCTTGTTGATTTTCTCAAAGAACCAGATCCTGGTTTTGTTGATATTTTGTATAGTTTTTTCTGTTTCTACTTGGTTGATCTCAGCCCTGCATTTGATTATTTCCTGCTGTCTACTCTTCTTGGGTGTATTTGCTTCTTTTTGTTCTAGACCTTTCAGGTGTGCTGTTAAGTTGTTAATGTATGCTCTCTCCTGTTTCATTTTGTAGGTACTTAGAGCTGTGAATTTTCTTCTTAGCACTGCTTTCATGGAGTCCCACAAATTTTGATATGATGTGTCTTAATTTTCATTAAATTCTAAAAAGTCTTTAATTTATTTCTTTATCTCTTCCTTAACCAGGTCATTATTGAGTAGAGAGTTGTTCAGTTTCCATGTGAATGTGGACTTTCTATTGTTTTTGTTGTTACTGAAGTCCAGCCTTAGTCCTAGTCTGTGGTGATCTGACAGGATGCACGAGATTATCCCAATTTTCTTGTATCTGTTGAGGCCTGTTTTGTGACCAATTATATGGTCTATTTTGGAGGAGGTTCCATGAGATGCTGAGAAGAAAGTATATTCTCTTGTTTTAGGATGAAATGTTCTATAGATGTCTGTTAAATCCATTTGGTTCATAACTTCTGTTAATTTTGATGTGTCTCTGTTAATTTCTGTTTCCATGATCTGTCCATTGGTGAGAGTGGGGTGTTGAAATCCCCCACTATTATTGTGTGAGGTACAATGCGTGTTTTGAGCTTTAGTAAATTTCTTTTATGTATGTGGGTGTCCTTGCATTTGGAGTGTAGGTGTTCAGAATTGAGAGTTCATCTTGGTAGATTTTACCTTTGATGAGTATGAAATGACCTTCCTTATCTTTTTTGTTTACTGTTGGTTGAAAGTCGATTTTATTTGATATTAGAATGGCTACTCCAGCTTGTTTCTTGGGACTATTTGCTTCAAAAATTGTTTTCCATCCTTTTACTCTGAGGTAGTGTCTGTCTTTGTCACTGAGGTACGTTTCCTGTATGAAGCAAAATTCTGATTCCTGTTTGTGTATCCAGTCTGATAGTCTATGTCTATTTATTGGAGAATTGAGTCCATTGATGTTAAGAGATATTAAGGAAAAATGACTGTGGCTTCCTGTTATTTTTGTTATTAGAGGTTGTATAATGCTTGTGTAGCTATCTTTTGGGGGGGTTGTTGGAAGATTACTTCCTTGGTTTTTCTAGGTTGTAGTTTCCTTCTTTGTGTTTCTGTTTTCCATCAACTATCCTTTGAAGTGCTGGGCTTGTGGCAAGATATTGTGCAAATTTGGTTTTGTCATGGAATATCTTGGTTTCTCCATCTACAGTGATTGAGAGTTTTGCTGGGTATAAAAGTCTGAACTGGCATTTGTGTTCTCTTAGGGTCTGTATGATATCAGTCCAGGATCTTCTGTCTTTTATAGTCTCTGGTGAGAAGTCTGGTGTAATTCTTATAAGTCTGCCTTTATATGTTACTTGACCTTTTTCCCTTACTGCTTTTAGTATTATTTCTTTGTTTTGTGCATCTGATGTTTTGATTATTATGTGACGGGAGGTATTTCTTTTCTGATCGAGTCTATTTGGCATTCTGTAGGCTTCTTGTACGTTTATGGGCATCTCGTTTTTTAGGTCAGGGAAGTTTTCCTCTATAATTTTGTTTAAGATATTTACTGGCCCTCTAAGTTGGGAATCTTCACTTTCATCTATCCCTATTATCTTAGGTTTTGTATTCTCATTGTGTCCTGGATTTCCTGGATGTTTTGGGGTAGGAACTTTTTGTATTTTGCATTTTCTTTGACAGTTGTGTCAATGTTTTCCATGGTATCTTCCGTACCTGAGATTATTTTTTGTATTCTGTTGTTGATGCTTGTGTCTATGACTCCTGATCTCTTTCCTAGGATTTCTATCTCCAGGGTAGTCTCCCTTTGAGGTTTCTTTATTGTTTCTATTTCCATTTTTAGATCCTGGATGGTTTTGTTTAATTCCTTCACCTGTTTGATTGTGTTTTCTTAGAATTCTTTAAGGAATTTTTGTGTTTCCTCTTTAAGGGCTTCTACCTGTTCACCTGTGTTCTCCAGTACTTTTTTAAGGGAGTTACTTATGTCCTTCTTAAAATCCTCTATCATCATCATGAGAAGTGATTTTAATTCTGAATCCTGCTTTTCTGGTGCGATAGGGTGTCCAGGGCTTCCTATGGTGAAAGAACTGGGTTCTGATGATGCCAAGTAACTTTGGTTTCTGTTGCTTATGTTCTTGAACTTGCTTTTCACCATCTGGTTAACTCTAGTATTACCTGCATTCACTGTGTCTGACTGGATTCTGTCTTTCCCATTATCTTGCTTGTGTCAGAACTCCTCAGAATACAGATGTCTCTGTGATCCAGTCATCCTAAGCTCCTGGGTGGAAGAACTCCTGGGACTCAGGTCATCTCTGGGATCCTGAAATCCTGCTGCTCTGAGTCCAGTTGTTCCTCTAGGATGGCTCAGGATATGGTGTCTCCACAGGAGCAGACCAGTCAGGTGTCTGCCCCAGCCAAAAGGACAAGGCAAGGGGTGGAAGAGGAGTGGTATTCCGGAGGTACAGGGCTTAGGTTGTTGATGGGGCCTGAGCACCACTTGCTCCCAGTTGTAACTCTGGGGCATAGGGAGGTGGGAGAGGGTTCTTACCCACTGGTCTGACTGCAGCGGCTCCTTTAGGATGGCTCAGGATACGGTGTCTCCACAGGAATAGACCAGCTAGGTATCTGTCCCAATCAAAAGAACCAGGTGAGGGGTGGAAGGGCTAGTCTAGAAATTCTAATGTGGTTCCCAACTCATACCTTAACAACCTTCCAGAAGAACTGAGCTGCATCCCAAATACTGTTACCTCCACATTTGAAGCAATACCCTTTGGTTTCATATGTTGTACTTGGCCTCCTAGTAAACTGTAGAGATAGAAGCAAACTTCTAAATAAAGTGTGTGGACTTCTGTTCTAACAAAGATGATTTAGGCACAGTGACTTGTAATAGGTGAGTTTTTGGGCTTGCCCAGTATCCAAAGTTCACTTTTTATACACAAGACCCATAAAAGTACATGCTTGGATGATCAGAGACAGGAGGACTTAAAATCTCCTGTCTGTATGATTCTAGTGACTCTCAAATAAGGAAAGAGAGAAACCGAGATGTCAAATCCCAGAGAGTACTAGTAGATTCTAAGCGAGTAGAAGAAGGGAAGTGGCAAACAGTCATAGCATAGCCACCTGCTGCAATGATTTACTGGTAATTAGGATTGAGTCTGCTCGAACTGTGGCCTTGATCCTTTACCAACAACGGACGGCACCTTTCCTGAGACTGTTGTAATTTATTTGAGTTCTTCTTAGGCAACCACTGAACACATTGACATTGACAGAGAGCAAATATTCTATGTTGCTATTTGTACACCTTGGGCAGAGCATTCTGTTCACACAGAGGAATCATAAATAGACTGCTGTGGATTGGAGGACTCTGGACACCATGTTAAGGAGGAGGACACCATAAGCCCTGTCATCCTGTCCTCTCTTACCACACCATGTGGAAGAACAGACAGGCTCAGCTGTGCCTTTTTTCAGTTCTTTTTGCCTTCCTGCCTTCTTCTTCCTTGCGCAATGGAGACCCGTGAGTACCTCCAAGTTCCTTCCATATTGTCCCTCTTCCAATCAAAGCACTATTCCTTTCTTTTCCTTTCACAGTCCCTTCCCTTGAAAGCCTCCCTAAATTGTGTTTGCTTTTTAATTAAAAACTAACTGTATATATGTTCTCCAGCTTTAGTATTTCATGATTCTAGGTAATCTTTTTTCCTACTCTAAAGCAGTCAGCTTTTCTAAACTGAGGTGTGGTGTGATTTAGAATAGTGTACCCATGATTAGTGAACCAGCAGTATCTCAAATCCCAATAGTCAGAGACATTTTTGGGTGTTGAAACTATTTAATCACTTTGAAAATAAACATCTAAATTGCTGGCATTTTTGGTTGGAAATGTGCAGCTTATCGTTTAACCCTGAGACAGGTAAGACTTCAGACAGATCAGAACCTTGTGGATGTTTGTGTCCTAGAACAACATTCCTATTAGGATCAAAGACCTTGAATTAAACTACCAGTAGAATTTGTTGTTTGATGTCCAAAATAAACATATAATTAAGATTATATTGCTGAGTGTGGTTTTTTGCATCTGTGATCTGAAAATATATTTAAGGTGGCTAAAATAAAAAGCAAGTTGGTGATATTTTTACATAGTGTGATATAGCAGTGACAGGCTCGATTTTGGGGGACAAAATCTCTAATTCTAGGAAAATGTATAGAATTATTCCTACAGATAGCCTTTGGCACTTGCTAAAGTGTAACATAAGTGAATCATGCAAGTTTAAATTTCACAGACACATGATGACTCTTAGGTTGAAGAGTACCCAAAAATAAAAAACAGGGTATTGAGTTATTTTTTTAAGAATCTAAACGTGGCAATGAAAACCTATCATGATACATTTTTATGAAAATAATGATTGTTCCTCCCATATTTACACTAAAAACAAAAACAAACAAACAAAATAGTTCTAGACCTTGAGTTCTGGCTGCTTAGTGAAGTGAGGACATGCCATTCGAATCTGCCTTGGCAGCTATCACTGCAGAAGCTGGTGTTTGATTAACTGATAATTCTATTGCCACTCTGTTGTGCCACAAGCTGTGACAGCTGTCACAGTGTCAACCTGCTATCTCAGGCTGTGAAACATGAACGATAATGGTTACTGTGATGAAACTCCAGTTATAGACAATGAGATCTGCCATCAGCTGGCGGGAACTCTTTCCTTTCCAGGAAGTATATGGTGCTGGCCCCTTCCCAGCTCTACACTGAGACCACTGAGAAAATCTGCCTCCATCTCTACCATCTGAATGAGACAGTGACTGTCACAGCTTCCTTGATAACTCACTCTGAAAGGAAACGCCTGCTCAATGAGCTTGTGGTTGACAAGGACTTGTTCCACTGTGTTTCCTTCATTGTGAGTACTGTGACCTGTACAAGCTGCGCGTGAAAACCTTTCAATACTTGTCCTGATTTGTTTTATATACTTATGAACATGTGTGTGAATATGTATATACAGTATCCATACATATTTCTAGAAAAGGTTAATCTAGAAGCATAAGTATGAACTCAAAACAATAGAAATTTATAACACTTACCCAATGAACAAATACCTTAGACCATCCCACCCCAAAAATGAGGAGAGTCAATACTTGTGCAAATGCTGTTTTTCCACTGAATTCCCACGAATAATCCAACTTCACAAAGAAAGGGCTCTCTAATTCATAGTACTTCCTGCTAGTGAGGTCATAAACTTTGAAACAGCACTCCAGCTAACTAGGATGACATCTCCTATGCGTGATCCTGATATCCTGAGTAAGTGCTGGGCTTCTTCTTTGAAAACCTATTTTCAAGATGTAATTCCTAGCATCATTGATACATTACCTTTCTCTCTACCTCAGTTTCATAGTTAGAGCTAATTTTCTTTCATTTCTTAGAGATAATTCTTAATAAGATTCCATTTACTCCCTAAAAATGACTGTGGTGTTGTTACTCACATAAACTCACATTGACTTACAAAAAAGGTTGTGTTTTCTTTTCATCCTTTTTTCCCCTCTCACAGTTTTTCTGTCCACATAACACATAAACAGAAACTGATGCACCCCCCCATTTCATCCTTGTAAGATGGAAAAAGAGAAGGTTAATGAGGTAATCTAAGAAGTGCAGAGAGTCAGATGGTGAAGGGTCTCATGTTCTCAGATTCCTAGATTGTCCTCTTCTGAAGAGAAGGAGTCTCTTGATATTGACATCAAAGGGTCAACACATAAATTCAGCAAGAAGAATACTGTGCTTGTGAAGAACAAAGAAAGTGTTGTCTTCATCCAGACAGATAAGCCAGTGTACAAACCAGGACAGTCAGGTATGAAGCTCCATAGTGGGCAAAGGAATTAAGATGCCATCCTCAACATGGCACGAAGAAGGCCTGGGTCTTTGGACCTCACTAGAAAATTCATTCATTCATTCATTCATATTCTCTCTCTCTCTCTCTCTCTCTCTCTCTCTCTCTCTCTCTCTCCAGTTAAATTTCGGGTTGTCTCTATGGATAAAAATCTACACCCCCTGAATGAGTTGGTGAGTCTATTATCTATGGGCATTTGTGGGTTCTTCAGGAAAAAATGTCAATGCAATATCCTAATTTCCAGTCCCTTTGAAGTATGAGTTGATCTTTTTGTTTATTCTTCTCTTTTGCCAGTTTATATCCCTCACTCAGTTACCAAAGGCCATCCTATGGCTTCCTTATATGGGAGTGTCTGTATTTTGTAGTCCATTAGTGGATAAACATCTCTGGGTTTTCTTCATATTTTGTGGAGACTTATACTGTATACAACCTCACGTTTTTCAGTCTTTTGTTTTGCAGATTCTGTTACTTTGTGTCATCCTTTAAAGAAATCCATTGCTAGTGTAACAGAGGTATTTCTCAGATAGTCCTATTATTTTTATAATTTCATGTTTAACACTTAGGTTCTTCCCTAATTAGACTCTTTTAAAAATAAAATTGTGTTTCAGTCTCTTGTTCTCTGTACTTAGGCCAGTTGTGGGTATCTGTTTCAAATACCCTCTAGTATGAACAGAAGCTTCTCTGATGAGGGCCAAAGGATGCTTTAATCTATAAATACAAAGATAGATTAGTATAAGTTAGTTTAATATTGTGTCTTTTAGCAGTATAATAACAGTGGATTCTATCCTGGGGCCTCTGCTGTATGAAACCCCAGGTTATTGGCTCTACAGTCATTTCAAGTATCTTATTAGTTTTTATCACATTGAACTTGCTGAATTTACTAGTAAAAATGACTTACCTTGAATTCCAATTGGTGTTGTGTGCTTGTTATAAAGTGGTCTTTCTACTACTGTTTTGGGTTCATTTCTCTGCAACTTAAAGAATTAAAAGGCAGGAAAAATCTTGAGCACAGTAGGCAAAATCAGCCAGTGAGAAGGGGATTTTATTAGAGGTGAGGAAACACACACACTGCAGGCACATGGGTGGAAAGACTGCAGAAGGTGATAGGGAAGTCCTGTCTTTCTCTAAGACTGGGGGTTTAAGGATCTTTGAGATGTCTTCTTTCTTTTTAGCATTGGCCTTATTTTTCTTAACTCATGTATAAAGTAGTAAGTTTCCACATGGCTTTTTCAAAGACCCTTAGTGTTGGTTAACCCTCCCACCCTCCCATCTTACTTACCTCTTCCACCCTACTCTCTCACTTTTTCCACCTTCTCCTTTTCCTTTTCCCATGCTTCTCTCTCCCCTGTTCCACCCTCCCCTCCCAACTCTCCCACTCCACACACTGATTCCTGGTTCAACTTTCTGTATGTCTCCCAGTACACTTTGTTTTCATGTCACCTACATCATGCTATCTCCCCTATGTGAGGAATTCCACCCCCCAAGGTGGCCCTCTTCTGGTTTTCTTGCTTCCATAGGTACTCCAAAATGAACACATAACTCTAAATATTTGAAGTGAGGAGTCAATTTGAGAAAGGGCACACAGCCATTCTCTCTCTGAGCCTACCTTATCTGTGTAACTTTTTTTTAAGTTTTATCTATTTGCCTGCAGCTTTTGTGACTTTGCTTTTACAGCTAAACAAAATTCCATTTTGAACACCTGTACCACATTTTCATCATCCATTTCATGGCTTTTCCCCCTATACTTTCAGAAATGAGTTCAACATCACTAAAATTCCCTTACAACTGCCATTGCTTGATCCCTTATTCACTGCTAGAAGTGGCTGTGTCTCCTTTAATCTTATGCTCACCTGAAGTAAGCTTGCCTCTTGAGACAGCTCAATTACCAGAGAACCTTAAATGACTTTGTCACTGTCTGTCTTTACTGTGTACACTTCATCTGATTGATCAGAAACACTTCACCCACCAAAGTTCTGGACATGCACCCCTGCCCTGGTCAGCAGCAACTCTCCTTTGAAGCAAGAGGAGCTACTGAGCCCTTTCTTGAAATTTCTTGACCAGAGTTAGGCCTTGATTTATTCTGTTGAGCTGTGCTCCAGAGGTGAGTATTGATTACACAAGCTAATGCCTTTCTAGATCATCAGACAAGGAATGGGAAGGCACTGCCTGGTGTACAGTGGGTATAAATGGCTTGCCCGGAACACTTCCAAGTTTTACATTTGATTGGATATATTTAACTCTAGTAACCCCACTTCAAACTAAAAATATTTCTGATATGAACATTAAATTTTGTAATCACCATACTGTAAGGGCTAAGGGCAGGTCTCCCAGAACATCAGAGAAATCCTGCAGATGATGTCCCTCAAAGTTTCCTTGTGAGTCCCTATCCATTGAGTGATCCATATGATTAAGATAGTTCTAGAAAATATACTTAAAAGTTCTCTATGGTAATGAATTGGCTTACAATTGACTTTGTTACTAGATATTAAGTTCATTACATTTTCCTGGAAATTCTCATCCTATGGCCTATTCTATTAATTTATTGAATTTGCTTTGTGTGTGAAATTTCTAAATCAGTCGTTCTTATACTTCCTAATACTTCGAGTCTTTAATGCAGTTCCTCATGTTGTGGTGATCACCAAACCACATTTTCCTTTTATTTTTGTTGCTACTTCATGACTATAATTTTGATAGTTAGGAATTACAATGTAAATATTTTTGGAAACAGATTTGCCTGCTGTTCTAAACTAACATTGTTTTCCTTGTGTTTCAGTTTCCTCTGGCTTACATTGAGGTAAGATAATTAAATGTTTCATAATCAGCGAGATATCAATCTTATGAAAGTAACCTGATATTGGAATGTTGCTAACTGGTTTGTTATTTCCCAGGTGACCTTTACTTCTTCCTTCCCAGAAAGAATATTACCAAGCTCCCAAATGCTTCTGTCACTAACACAGTGATCTTATATGCACTGTTGTACTTAATACTTTATTGACTTAGAAAATCTACAACCTCTTTCACAGGATCCGAAAATGAACCGAATTATGCAGTGGCAAGATATTAAGACAGAGAACGGGTTTAAGCAAATGTCCTTCAGCCTGGCATCAGAGCCCATTCAGGGCTCCTACAAGATAGTGATGCACAAACAGTCAGGAGTGAAGGAAAAGCACTCCTTCACTGTGATGGAATATGGTAAGGATTGGGAAGACCAAAAAGAGAGAGTGGATGTCCTAGGTTTCTGGTTACCATAGGATGAATTATTTTAAACAAAGTGAGTGGCTGGGTTTCATCTGACTCCAGCTAAGGCTATCCATCTAGCAACATGGGACTTCCAGAAAGTTCTAGGATTTTTCAGAAGCAAACTACTTGTTTGTTGTTTGTTTTTCCTTTTCAAGTGTGATTTGCAAGAAGTGACATAATGTGTAACCACTCAATATTCTAACTTTATTGCGTGGACATGCCTTAATAATGGGAAATCACCATTTCTGAGCAGAGACTGATCATTTAGGCAACGAGACAAGTCACTATGCACCTGAGTGTCTCCTCTCTCTCCCAATAGTGCTTCCCAGATTTGATGTCGATGTGACAGTCCCAAATGCCATCTCTGTGCATGATGAAATACTCAGAGTGACTGCATGTGCAAAGTGAGTTACATACTTCTGTCCTTCTATATTTAAGAATGTACTCAGACACCGTGAATCCCTAGGATAATGTATCATTGAAGAATATGTAGAAATACTATGGTTGTGTCCTTTTCTCACCAGAATGTTTCCCCTGTGGTGTTCTTTTGTGTCACTTACTGCTCTGCTTTGATTACTGCGCAATCATTCACTGATGGATGCTGATATCAATGGATAAAATCAATTTTGTGAGACAGCACAGAGTCGCTCCTTTTGGAGACAGGAAGGGACCTCATAAGATTCACTGACCCATGTGAAGAGAACACAGGCACTAGATCAAGGAATCTTGCTGCCCCCTTATGGGATGACTGAAAGTAGAGAAACAAGAGCTCCCTGTCTGCCTCCAGGGCAAACCACTGCCACCCAAGTTTAACCTCCAGACACCTCAGTCTTCTGCTTGCATTTTTGTGTCTGACAAATTAGGACATTGTACTACAACTAAAATTTCTTTTGAAGTCTAGAACCATAAGAGAAGGAACTTGCAATATGTGCCTAAATAAACAGAAGACACACATCTCTGCTCATAGCTGCTTGTCCTTATGGTGGACAGGCTCAAAAACTAAAAGTGATAGAACAAAGGCAAAGTGTTAAGGAGGTTTGTTAGAATAGCTCTGAGTCCTTTCCCATGCTCCCCATTCATCTCAGCCCCATTATTTAGTAGCAGGGGATCCTGGTTTGTTTAGTTAATCTTTTTCCGAACCACAAAAGGGAGAAGGCCATGTCTTCCATAGATTCTTAATAGGGCTATTTTTATTATTTATTAATTAATTTATTTATGTCACAAATTCTTGATGCATATGGTTAGAAAGTGTCAGGAGTAATAATAATGGGTCATGTTTGTTGTCATTATGAAACGACACAGACTCTGTGAGAAGACAGTGGGTGTCTACTTTAGAAAGACTGTGGCCACTTTGAATTTATCTTGTGACAGATATACCTATGGGAAGCCTGTCCCTGGAGATGTAAAGATAACCATATGCCATGAATATCAGTACTTGGGCTCTAAGACTGAGTCTGAATGCAAAGAAGTCAACTCCCAGGTGAGTGAATTTGTTCAAAGGCTTGTTTTAAATATCCAAGGTTAACTAACAGAAATGCAGACTGCAAAGGTGAAAGGAAACGAATACCCAGACATTGAAGAAGGATGTCTGGGACCTTGGGCTGTATCTCAGGGATGGAACATTAGTCAGGCATGTGTGCAATACCCAGAAGCCCCTCAATGACAAAAGTGATAATCCTGGGACCCACTACTATTAAAGGTATATTTCAACAACTTCACTTGGCCATCAAATTTATTTTGAGTATATATTCATTGTACAAAATAGTAGGTTTATGACATTTTCATACATAAGTATCATGTATTTTAACGACATTCCCTGTTCCATTGCTGCCTCTGCTTCCTTAGTACCTCACTTTTATGTGTCATTCTCCTCTTCCTATGTAACCCCCACTACCTTTGTGTCTTATAGACTATCCTTTGAAAGTGTATTTCAATGAGCACATATAAAGTGCAAGTAAGTTAAATAGACTTTTGTACTATCTATTCATTCAAGTGTATCATGTACTTGATTCCTTCCTTCATTATGTACCTCACTCTTTCCATCCCTCCACCCGCCAGACCCTCTCTCTTCTCAAATGGAACAACTTCTGTTTTGCTGTGTTTTGCTTCTCTTTTGTTTTATCCTATATGACAGAAAACATGCACTGATGTGTTTTAGAGTCTGGTATATCTTTTAAAAGGTGATAATATCTGTACCCATGATATTCTCCTACTTGGTTTTGATTACCAGTTTATCAGCTGGTGGACTCACTTGTCTTTAACTCACATAAATGACAAGCCATGAATGAGAACACATTTTGGTGTGCTGATATAGATTCCGTTTATAGATTCCTGACAGCTGAGCATATGGTACCTCCACCTTCCATTTTCTGAGGAGCTTCTTCTTCTGATGTGTGTAGTGGTTGTACCAGGCTGTAGTCTCACCCACAATTCATGAGATGTATAGGACTTCAGGCTCTTGTGCTCACAGATAAAAATTAGAGAAAACAGGAAGGTTAAACACACAAGCTTGTGTCCTCAACAGAGGAGACAAGGCCACACTTGAATCTATTCCAGACTTTTCCTTTCTAAACTTCTATCTTGAACAGTTTCTCAGTCAATAAAACCCATCGTTATGGAAGATGTCATTTGTACATTACAACAGTCTGTGTAACCTGTATGTTATCTGTAGGGCCAAGTGACTCCTGACTCCCATAGACTTTTATATTTATTTCAGGCATTCTCAGCAGTTATTGGTTCCCTGTAGCTCTTGATCTAGGGGTAGGGCTTTGTGAAATGTCCCCTTTCTACCACGTTAGCAGGTTAACTTCTTTACCATTATTTAAGTCTTGTTCAGGCAACCACATTGTTGGGATTTTATGTGTGCCTTGTCCCTGTTGTGTCTGAAAGACACTATTTTTGCAACAGGCTTTCTGATCTTTTACAATATTTCTGAACCTTGTTCCATGATTTTTCCTGATCCTTAGATGTAGGGGTTATGTTGGTGAACTATTGTTTGGGTTGGGCAATCCTAGGCAGTTCTTTGCATTTTCATAGGTTGTGGATCTCTATAAAGGTCTCTGACTCTTGAAAAACGAGATTTTTTGATGAGGTGAGAGCCACATACATCTGTTAGATTAAGAGTAAGTCTTTAGGTACAGTAAGGAACTATATTGATTAAGAAAAATGGCAGTAGTAGGTTTCTCTCTATAGAATCTTTGTGACGTTTTAAGTTATCGATTTCTTCTTAGTTAACATTTGTGTTTTGGATGGATGCAGAAATCTGTCCACTTGATTTAAGTTTTAGAAATTAATTAGGTACAGGTTTTTAAAGTATTCCCCTACAATATGCCAAATCTATTTAGTGTCTGTGTAATGTAACTCTGAACGTTCCTGATTCTATTAATTGGGTCATTTTCTTTCTTTCTTTTGGTTAATTGTGCCAAATATTGGTCTTTATCTTATATTCTTAAATAACTATCTCTTAGACTCATTGATTTATTTTTGTATTCTTTATTTCTGCTCCATTAGTTTCTGCTCTGGTTTTTATTATTTCTTTCTCTCTACTAATACAGAGTTTGAATTGACATTTGTTTTTTTTCTAAATCCTTGATTTATATCATTGAGTCATTTATTTGTGTTATATTCTTTCTTTATTTTCAGCAGAACTCAGAAATAGTTAAGTCTCTCTCGTGTCAAACATCTTCCAAAGGCTTTTGTGTCATCCTATAATTTTCATTTAAATCCAGGTTTTTCTTCTCTCTTTGAGTTCTTCCTTGATTTATTCATTATTAGGCAGGGTGTTGTTTGATTTTCATGATTTTTTGTAATTTCTATAGATCCTTGTGCTGTTGATTTTAAGCTTTATTGGATTGTGGTCAGATAGGTTGCACAGGGTTATCTCAATTCTTATGTATTTGTTCATATTTGGTTTGTGTCTTGCTTTGTCATCTATTTTTGAGAAATTTCAGTTCACTACTAAAAGGAATAAATATTTTTTGGTGTGTCAATGGAATGTTTTATAAATATCCATTAGTTCCAAGTGATAAATTGATGTCATTTAATTTTGATGATTCTGTGTTTCTTTTTTGTTCAAATCTCCTATTGGAGAAATTAGGGTGCAGACATCAACTATAACCACTGAGTTGAGTTTCATTAGTGTCTTGAAATCAAGTGGTATGCTTTTTATGAAAGTGTCTGTGCTAGAACTTGGTTCATAACTGATAACTGTAGTGTCTTCTCAGTTAATTGTTCTCTTTATCAGAATAAAGTGCCCTTCTTTATCTCATCTAATCAATTTTTGCTTCAGATCTATTTAGTCAGATATTATAATAGTAATGACTGCTAGCTTTCTGGTCATTTGCTTTGAATACTTTTCCAATCCCTTGACTCTGAAATATCTATCTCTGAAGAGAAACTGAGTTTCTTGAAAACAAAATAACTGATTTTCTTTCTTAACCTTTTCTACTATCCTATATCTTTTGATTGGAGAGTTGAGCCTATTAATATTTAAAGTTATCATTGAAAGGTGCATGTTGATTACTTTGATTTTACTTTTGGTACTATTTTTGTTTAACCTTACTTTGTGTTTCAGTAATTATTATTTCATTTGTTTTCTTTCTGTAGCTTTGCTATTCCCTCTTTTCAGTCCAAAGTACTGCTTTTAGTATTCTCTGTAGAGCTGGTTTTGTGGACATGAATTTTTGTAGCCTGTTTACAATTTTTTCAGTTTTAGGAATTTCTTGAGCCTTGTAAGTTGTTTACGCCCTCAGTTTTATAAGTCTCATATATGTTCTGAGTCTCAGTAAGCCTCCTTCCAGATGGAATATTTAAATTCAGATGAAATTTATATACAATGGTCAAAGAATTATTAATTTTTGGCCAGATGATCAACTAATGACTGTGTAGTAGTAAAGTTACCCATTATTATTGTACCTGGATCTATCTAATCTTTGCTTAATAGTATTTCTTTCCTGAAATATGATGGATTGACATGTTTACTTAGAATTCTATTTTTTTTGTTTATTCCTTTCACTCATAGGTAGTGACTATTTTATTTCTTGTAACTACATTTGAACTTGTCTATTTTATCATACATGAGTATTGCTATTTATATTTCTTCTCCGCTTGGATTTCTTTGATCTATCCCTTCCTAGCCTTTCATTTTTAATCTGTGTATGTGTTCTTTTTAGTCTAATTAGCTAGCCTTTGTCTTTTTTTCTTTTTTTTTGGCCATGAGGTGTGATTTATTTTCATCAGTCATACAAATAATTTTCTATGACATCACAGGGTAAACCAAGTGGCCTGGTGGGTTCACAGTGCATCTTTTGTCTTGCATCCATCCATTTTACAGGTGACCTTTCTTCCACATAATGATGGGGCTCTCAAAAATGATGGGGTGGTGTGGGAAAGTCCTCCTATGCTTCTAGGAAATTTCACTCCTCTTTTCCTATTCAATGGTTTCTTTGGTTGGCAGGGTGTTCTTCTCATGCATCCCAGTTTACTTCACCTTGACTTTATTGAAGCTGGTGATTTCCCCTACTGCAGGCTTGTCTGCCATTTTCGTCCAACTCAAGTCTCATTCTGAGCTGGTGCTCAAGGGGCTGCCACTTGCAATGCTGCAGCAAGAGACCTAGCCTGTGTATCTTAATTAAATTGTTAAAATAATTTACACTTTGGACTATTGTTGATGATTATGTGTTTATTCCGATGACTTTATTGGATGTTCTGGTTGGTTCACATACTATTTATCTTTTATTAACCATCACATCTGTTGCTGATTTTCTCAGTCTTGTTCTGAATTGGTAGCATTCATATCATCATCCGCTTGTTTAAATTCTCTTTGAGGTCACTAGTCATTTCCAAAACTAGACTACTGGATTATTTGTCCAGCATTATGACAACTGTGTATCCTAGGATTCAGTTAGTGAACAGCTGTATACTTTTGTACATGTCATACTTCCCTGCTTGGTCATGTTTCCCCTGTTTCTTTTTCTTTAATTAAGTTATTTATTTACTTTATATCCTGTCCATAGCTTCCCCTCCCTTCTCTCTTCCCAGTCTCTCCTCAACTCCTCTCATCCTACCCATGTTCCTCTCATCCCTTCCTCTCTGACAAGGGAAGGCCTCCCATGGATTTCAACCAGCTTTAGCATGTCAAGTTGCAGTAAGAGTGGGGACATCTTCTATGAAGGCTGGAAGGATGAGGCAGCCCAGACAGGGGAAGGGGATCCAAACAAACTGACATAACAGCAGAAAACCAAAGTTGTTAGAGCAATGCAATTTAAATTAAATACTGTATACTATTATGCCAACAATAATTGTAACAATGAAAATGTGGAAGAAGCAAGCTGTGAAGCCTAAATTTAATTAAGAACAAAATACTGATTCTGGTAACTCTTATCGTTCACTGTTCAGAATAATGTTAGTTCTTTCTTATGAAGACTTTTCTTGCTCACAGAACCACATGCTAGCTAGCAGCTTCTAAGCACCATTTCACTCTAGAAATGGATTTCACTTTACTTACTGGCACTAAGTATCATGCCAACAGTTTCCTGCCTGCTGGCAAAATGTAGCATTGAGCTGCATCCATGTCTGTGATTGCTATTTTAATAATAGAAGGTGCTTATAAAATCCTAATGACATGCAAGTTAAGTGCTCATACATTTACAATGGAGAGTTTACTTAATATTCCTTAGTAGATAACACTTAATATTAAATAGGTAATCACTATATTTATAGATGACTAAGCCAAGGCAGCACTGAAACTAGTCATGATCATGGCACACAGCAGCCCAGTCTTTGAGCTGAGTCCCATGCTTATAACCAGAACACCATTCAATAAGTGCTCATTTTCTGAAAGAAGTCTTCATGTGTGGATTTGAGTAGACCATCAATCTGAACAGTGTGCCATGTTACTTTCTATCTCACATAGAAGCTAGACAGCAATGGGTGCAGGACAGAGGAAGCAAACATCAGGACTCTCCAATCAAACATAACAAACACAAGATATTGTAGAATCCAGCTCTTCCATGTGAATGCAACTGTTACAGAAGAAGGGACAGGTATGTGAGTAACATAAGAATATAGAAGATGAAGCTGTGAAATTGATATCTTCTCACATCGAGATGATGGCTCAAAGGATGCAGAATGCAAGCAACTCTCTAACCAGCTTGGGAGTTCAATGTTGTCACTAATTTCTTCTTTAGGATTCAAGTATAGTGGATCCAGAAAAACTGAAATTAAAAGAACCACAAGCAAGCTCATATTTCTGAAAGCAGATTCACACTTCAGACATGGAATTCCATTCTTTGTGAAAGTAAGGTTCATAGATGGTTAAGCTGTAACAACCCAGACCAGTCTGCTTGATGTTAAATGTGTCTGACATCATTGGTTGGAACACAAGAAGTGCAGCTTAGTGGTGGACTTTGTACATAACATGCAATTCCCAGAACTAAACTGAATACTTAGAAAGGTTATGAAGAGGCTCCAAATCTAAAACATATGCAGCAAGGTTTTCATTGATAACTACTGTACTTTAAACCCCAGAATGTCACTGTGTTTCAATGGTGAAGCACCATGTGCTACATATCCATAACAAATCCACACACTCCATTAGCCTCTGCGCCCTCACAAGTTGTTCTTGTGATTGTGTCAGAGCATCTACTTCCTAGTTTACCCAATTGATTTGTTGATGGTTTCAAATGAATAATAGGAAAGTAGAAAGCATCTATAAAGCATCTGTTATGATGTTAAGCATTTGAAATGGGAGAATGACAATAGCAACCAACCAGAGCTCCCAAGGTCTAAACTGCCAGCTTGGGAACACACATGGAAGGAATCCATTGCTACAGCACTATAGGTGGTGAAGAATGGCCCTGTCAGGCATTGTTGTGAGAGGAGGCCCTTGGACCAGTGAATGCTGGATGCCCCAGTGTGGAGGAATGCAAGGGAGGGGAGGCAGGAGTGGGAGAGTGGGGTTCCAACCCCATAGAAGCAGGGGGATGGGATGAGGGTTTCTGGGGGTGAATGGGGAAATGGAATAACATCTGAAATGTAAATAAATAAAATATCCAGTAAAATTAAAAGAATATTATACCTTTAGTTCCTATATTTGAACAGGACAGCTAGTTCTGCTGGTATAGATTTTTGAAAAACAGTTTTGCATGCTGAATTAGTTGGCGCAGCTTTGGAATCTTTATATAATACTGAAACAGGGCTTTCTCTTACATTTTACATTGTATTTCCATGCCTAGACTATATGTTACTTTCTTGTTCAACTTAGGTCCGCCTAGTGGATATCAAAGGAGCTCCTATCCCAAATGAGCAAGTCTTCATCAAAGCACAAGAAATTAGGTATACCAATGCTACTACCACTGATAAGAATGGCCTGGCAAAGTTCTCCATAGACACCAGTGGCATCTCAGACTATTCACTCCATATCAAAGTAAGTCAAAAATGAGGAGGGCATAAGACACAAGATGAAGTTTTGCAACAGCATGAACTCAATATTGGGAACCTTAATGAAAAGAATATTCCATGCCAAACTCTCTTACTTTAGGCAAAACCAAAAAGTTTCTGATCATTAATAAAAGTATGATAATACATTGTGAATACATTTTTAACAGAATAAGGTTTTTTTTATAGTCTCTTTTACTTTATTTATGTTTTAAATATCTCAAGTTAGGACCTTCAAATAAAAAGTGATTAAAAGTTCATTTTTGTCTATTTAGTCAAGGATAGGTGTTGTGTATCCTCAAATTCATTACCTCTGTGATACCAACATCTTCACACTTTGTCTCTTAATTTGGTTTCAGGTGCCTTGAAAGTTGTGGCCATGATTTTATAGTTTATCTTTCCCACTCATTAAGTATAATCCTAGTAAGTATGAATATAATTTAAAAAAATGAAAAAGAGCCATTATACTCCCAGTTCCAATAAACAGAAAGTGGAATATACAATGTAAGTTAAACAGTTAAGTTTAAAAATAGAGATAAACTTTATTACTAAAATAGCAGAAAAGGAAGTCTGAGAAAAGAAAAAAAAGAATTTGTACAGTCTACCAGGAGTAAAATTCTATAATAAACAATCAGACAGCTATCACATAAATAATGTACCTTTTGGTGTACCTCTTATTGTTAACAGAACTAGAACATGAGAAATACAAAACTGATGAATGGAAGGAAATAATAAATATGACTGAGAGCAATCATGGGGACCAAAGGGAACAGTAAAAAGGTCCAGGGGAACCCAATGATTCTATGCTGAAAGTTCATCTCACCCATCAAAATGGCTATCATCAGGAAAGCAAATGTTGGCAAGGTTATGGGAACAAAGGAACCTATAGGCACAGTTGGTGCAAAGATAAATTAGTATGACTATTAAGCTCAGAGCTTCTACTAAAATCCAAAGGGAAGCCAGTATAAACTACAGGTATGCCATGGCCATATACATGCCATATGAATGAAAGCTAACATATGTTGGAGACATCTACATCCCATGGCTATCTCAGCAGTTCTCAGCACAGCTGGGTTATGGAGTCAACATTAATGCCTATTGGTGATGAGTGTTTACAGAGAATCTCTTGGGCAATGCATGGAAGAATCACCTGTCAATAATAAGCTGTTGGACTATTAGTCTAGGTAGGAAAAGAGAAGGGAGAGTTTCGGTACAGGGAGAATTTCTGGGATAGAGTCAGGTATGGGAGATTCACCCCAAACTGAGGAGAGGTAACCACAGAAAAGAATAAACAGGATAACTGAGTTAAGAGTTAACAGGAGAACTCAAAGTTTTTTAACTAAAAAATTATTCATAATAATTCAGTCATTATTTCGTGAACTTGGACACAGGTGGAGAAGCCCACCATTACATGAGTAGACAGAGAATATTGGAAGTATGTGCACATTGGACTTTTACTCATATATTTACAATAGAATCATCTTGTCTATAGAGAAAAAATGGGTTTAGAAATTGTCAACTTAAGAAAAAAGTATTAGTCTAGGAGAAATTATCCCCCGTATGTCCCCCATACGTGGAATCTAGGGAAAGGACAGGAATGAAGGCAGAGAGGGTCTATTAAGGAGGAAGGGAACTGGAGGGAAACATAGGATTGGGTACTAGGATGGATGAGTACGCTCAGAGTACATTACATTAATATATGAAAATGTTTCTGTCAACCCATTATTTAGCACAGTCACAATGCACTAAAATTCATATTTGTAAATACTTTTCATTGTATTATTACATGCACAATAAATACTTTCTTTTTCTCATAAAAATAGAAAACTTCCCTCTTCTCTCTTACTTGGTATAAATATTTGCCTCCATTATGAAAATTCAGGGTATTAGACATTAATCCATTTAATAAAATTCCCCTCCATTTTTAATAAGGTGTACAAAATATTTCATCATTAAATGAGATGGGAAAATACGCTGATTGATAATAGAAGAGAGATTCTGCTTGCTAGGCAATCTACTGCACAGTACTTTGTTTCTCCAGGTCTACCACAAGGGGGAAAATTCAGGTCCCTATTCATTTTGCATGGAAGAAAGACCTGCAGAGGCAAACCATGTGGCCTATGCTGTTTACTCCCCCAGCAAGAGCTACATCTACCTTGAGACAGAGACCAGCAGCATCTTGCCCTGCAACCATATTCACACAGTTCAGGCACATTTTATTCTGAAGGGGAAGAACTTGGGAGTGCTGAGAGAGCTCCTTTTCCACTACCTGGTGAGTTCTGGCTCCAAATTGAAAAAAAAAATAGTACTTCCTCTCCTGACCATGTCTCTCCTGACACATTGGGTTCTAGGCTGGGTATTTCTGCCTAGAATACAATAGATTCTTCTATGTCTTCTAGCACACTTAAAAGAAAGCCTTGTAAAACATAGATGTTAGCTTGGAAAATGCTTTACATTTTAGGTCATGGCCCAGGGCAGCATCATCCAGACTGGAAACCACACTCATCACATGGAGCCAAGAGAATGTAAGTGTCTCCCTCACAGTAACATTTCTCCAACTGAGAGTCCACATACTCACCAAGGGAATCTTACCACTGAGCAGCTAACAGTGCCATCGTGCTTGTGTGTCTCCATAGACACTCTCCACAGTAGGAACTCATGTCCAATGTATGCTCTCACTCATGATCTTCAGAAAAAAGTCTCAGAGTCCCAAACTGAGTATCATTCAACATGGTGAAAATCTATTGTGAATATGTACCACCTGAATATACACAGTACTCCAAGATACATTCTACATGAGGAACCTATGCAATCACATACAGATTTATCCCCAAGGCAAATGAGTTATCTTAGTGTCTGTCTAAAAACAATCTGGAGGGTACCAGTCTTGGACCTTACCATTCTAGCTACACTGATTTTCATATGTTTGATTCATTTTTATTATTTTTAAATTGTGTGTGAGGTGCATGTAGGTAACTATATGCGTTCCACTACAAGTACTCTGAAAGCCAGAGGCATCAGATCTCCTGGATATCCTGGATCCAGAATTACAGAGTTCTGAGCACCCTAGTGTGTGTGCTGGGAATCAAACCTGGGTCTTCTAAAAGAGCATCAAGTGATCTTAACCTATGAACTATCTCTTCTTTCTTTTATTTTTACTTTTAAAGACATTTTATTTATTCTTTGAAACTTACATATATTTATACAATGTATTTTATTCATACCCTCTCCCAACTAATACCCCATGACTCCTCCCTGCCTACCTCAAAAGGCCCCTTCCCTATTTTATGTCTTTTTTTATTTCAAGACTGAGTTTCTCTGTATAGCCCTGACTGTCCTGGAACTCACTCTGGCTGGCCTCGAACTTAGAAATCCACCTGCCTCTGTCTCCCAATTGCTGGGATTAAAGGCATGTGACATCACTGCACGTCTTCTTTTTTTTTAACCTCTTGAGTTCAGTTAGTGCTACCCATACACGATGAAGTATTGGGCCAGCCCCTGAAACATGAACAATCTACCAGAGACTTCACCACTGATCAGATCTGACTCTTCCTCCCCTCCACAGCCATCAAGTGTCAAAGCGCCTCAGCTAAGAGTGGGTCTTCACAAATCCCTCCTCTTCTATGCTGGGATATTGGCTGGCTTGCTGCTGGTAAGGTCTTGGGCAGGAAACCATAGCTGCTGTACTTTGTGTGAGAAGTCACCCATCATAACTTGATTATACTTGCTCAGTTCTAACAAAATGTGACTCATCTGTCACTCCCTTAATGGGGCCTCTTACATATGCTCCTATTAAGATACCAAGTTATCACTGAATCCTGGTAATCTCGATGCTCTGATCTTGCCATCTTTTCTTCCCAAAGTGCACTTACCACATGCAAACACATGTTCTATACTTTACCTTTTATTATTCATTTCTCTCTATGGCTATATCAACTACATGGAGCACAATTGAAACCGTATACTATTTACAGGAGTCTCACTCATGTTAGAGACAGTAAAACTCTTCTTTATATTGAATTAAAAATAGAATTTATTAGGAATAATAATGTTATTACTCTAATAGCTTAAAAATAATTATTGACACTGGCTAACAGCAAGTTTTAGATGTAAACTTGCTTGCTCCATACAGTCACAGATATCTTTCAAGTAATTTCTAGAAGTGGTAGATAGTCAGTGAATGGTCAACAAATTAACTGAAAAGTAGTTTCCATGGTATTGACCAATTATAAAAACTATTTAGCCATTTAATAAAATATGCAATTAGTTCTTCAACAAACCCTAAGAAGGAATCATAGCACCCATCATGAGAAACAATAAGAGAGACTTCAAAAATGCATAAATTTCTCTCAAGAGATGTAAATACTGTGAACATTGCATTGAGAAAAAGTTTAGTACTAAAAATATGCTTATTATTGCCAAATGTGGCTTGCTCCTCTGAGATAATTATTAATTTTCAGCTTCCCGAGTACCAGGCTTTCCTCTCCATTAGTCTTCCTTTTACCTGAATAATAAATGGGACATAAGCCAAGGTTGTCTCATCCCTTTTTATAACAGGAATATCTAACATGCTGTTTGGGAAGCTAAGGTATAAAAGAGATAAGAGGTTAGCATATGTCTAGCTATAAATAACCAAGATAACTTTTGACAATGAACGTCTTGGTGGAAGATATCTTTGTGATATCCTCCTGAGATCATTAGCATGCAGACAAGTAACAACAGGACAGGAAGACTGTCTTCCAGATATGGACCGTCTTCTAAATTCCCGTGTTCACTTACTTGGGTTTTCCTGTCAGTAGTCTAACCCATGACCATCTCTTCCCATTTCCTCCAGCTCCAGTAAAAGGAAACTTTGCCTTGGAGATCCCTGTGGAGTTCAGCATGGTCCCCATGGCTAAAATGCTCATCTACACCATCCTGCCTGATGGAGAAGTGATTGCAGATTCTGCAACCTTTAAAGTTGAAAAGTGTCTTCGCAACAAAGTGAGAGATTTGTTTGTAAAATTTCTATTTTAAAGCGTGGGGGGAGTCTTAAAGACACAGATTTCAGATGAATATACTAAACCCAGTCACTGGTATGTGCCTCAGTGGCAAAGATGTGGACATTACCAGAGTGCCAGATTTCAATTCCCAAATCACACACATGGTCGGAGGTTTAAGAGAGAGGAAGCAAGGAAGTGGAGACCAAGAGAGAAGAACTGAAACCTTAATAACTAATTCAAAGTTGTATAACTTACATTTCATTGTATTTATCTGTGTGTGCACATGTGCATGTGAATGTACACACGTGGAGGAAAGAGAACAAGTTTTGGAAGTCTGTGTTCTTCCTCATGAGTCTAAAAGGTCAAGTTCAGCTCAACAGGCTTGTCAGCAGATACCTTTACCCACTGAGCTATCTCAAAGACCCTTAATGTCTTACATGAGACCAGTCATAGGATCCAGGCCTATCAATTGTTAGTATATTTAATTTCCCTCCAATTTTTCCTTATAATTTTTGTGTATGTGTGATAAGAACATAAGACCCTTGAATTATTTGACACAGCATATTGAATGTGTGTGGTATCATAGATCTTCAGTACCTATTCACATTAGGCAGTTGGAACTACATCTGTTAGTGAGCATCTCTGCTTTCCTTACCCTAGAGTAGCTAATGACACCTCTGATCTGCTTTCATCAGCCTCTTTCAATACAACTCAGTCCGTGGCAGTTTGCTTCACTCACTGAAATGAAATAAGCAGCATTATGAGATGAAAGTGAATGGCAGATGTAGACATATTTCCAATTAGAATACTGATTTTTCCACTCCAAGTATGAGATTCATCATGAAAAAGTCCTTTCAAATGAGTAACTTTGTTGGTTGGTTGTGGCATGCGTTTTTAATCCCAGCACTCGGAGGCAGGCAGGTCTCTGAGTTCAAGGCCAGCTTGGTCTACAAAGTGAGTTCCAGGACAGCCAGGGCTACAGAAAGAAATATTGTCTCAAAAAAAACAAACCTCATTAGCAAGAGAAGGTGGGGAAGAGGGAGGGAGAGACACAGAGAGACAGAGAGACAGAGAGAGAGAGAGAGACAGAGACAGAGACAGAGACAGAGACAGAGACAGAGAGTGGTTTGGGAGATGGGGGAGAGGGAAAAGAAGAGGAGATGAGGAGAGAGGCGGGAGTGTAACTTCAGGGCTGCAGAGATGGCTCAACAGTTATTAGCACTTCCAGCACTGAATTCTGATTCCATCACACATATAAAATCCAGGCAGGACCAGAGGGTCCTATTACTCCAGTGCTGTGCTGGCTTGAGGCAGAGAATTACTGGAACTTACTTGCTGCCAGTTTAGCTCCAGGATTATGTGGAACATTCTCAAGAAAATAAGGTAGAGAGTGGGAAAAGGGCACCCATACCCTCCTCTGGCCTCTGCTGGGTGCATGGGTACATACACCTGCACACGTATGTGCATTACACCACAGTCACATACATGTGCACAAACACCAAAAATGAGCTATTTGCAAGAATCTCAGGGAAACAAAATTTTCCTTTGTTTCTTCGGATTTTAACTGACACATTTCGTGTCTTGCTAAATCAATTCTGGGGGAAAAAAGAAACAATGAACCTCAGTTGTGCTTCTGACAGTATTCATAATCTGGAAAATCATATGTAAATGAAGAGTTCCAGGGTGTCTCCACCCTGCAAAAGCAGGAACAACCACACACACACACACACACACACACACTAAGTTTGATTTTTCTTCTCTCAGGTGGACCTGAGCTTCAGCTCATCTCAAAGTCTTCCTGGCTCACAAACCCATCTGAGGGTCACAGCTTCTCCTCAGTCCCTCTGTGGCCTGAGAGCTGTGGACCAAAGTGTGCTGCTCCTGAAACCCGAGGCTGAGCTCTCCACTTCCTGGGTGAGTCCCTTCAGCCTCTGTCCAAAACAGATCAGCAGAGACCGGAAGTGACCCTGGTCTTGATGAAACAGTGATTATTCAGTCACTAGGGCTCTTGAGTGTACAAATACTGCATTTAATGCTGACAGCGTCTCTAAAGGAGCATTTCATTATAAAATCCTGAAGAATGGATCAGAAAACTTTAGCAAATAAAGTGAAGACAAAGAAAAAAAAGTAAGGCACTCTGTCAGTTGCAAAATCTCTGTGCTCATACTGAACATGTCCTACCCCAGGAGTGGCTTGTCCCCTTCAGATGCTTATGAAGGAGCTTTTTATAGTCACATTGCATGTGGGAGTCAAAGGAAACCAATTATACAAATAGAATCTTGCACAACTCAATGGTTACCCAAATAAGAAAAAATGGATATTAAAAATTTTTAATTTTAAAATGCAAGGTTCTCAACTTGTTTTGAAAAATTCTCAGAAGCACAAATGAAACCACATACTATTTACAAGAGTTTTTTCCAAGAAAATGACAGTAAAACTCTTCTTTTTATTGAATTAGAAACATGTCTTACTAGGAATAATTATATGATCACTCTAAATAGTGTAAAAATTATTATTCACACTGGCTAATAGAAAGTTTTAGAATATACAGTTGATCTATAAATTTAAAAACAGCAATCTTTAGCCCAGATAATGCCGGGAATTTACTAGTGTTTAAATAACATGTAAATTAAACCAATGTTTAATTTAAGTTTAATGATGTGATGTTATCACGCACATGCAGAAAATGCTTTGGAAAGTATCCTGCTAAAATATTTTTCTTTTTGATTTTTACTTTTCCCAAATCTATTAAACAAGAGATTACTTGTTTATAGCTGACAAATACAGGCAATTCATTTGAAAACACAAGGGTCATTTAATATGATGATTGGAGTTTCCTTGCTTTCCCCACCCTGACTTCTCCATGCTCTGGGTGCTTGTACTTCTAATGACAGCAGCTATTCTTGAACACTCAGATATTTGTAGTGATCACAGTGATTATTATTATTTTGTCTGTGTGTGAGTATTTTCCAAGAAGCCAACCACTCAGTCAACTCATGAACCACAATGTCAGCCAATGATAACTACAGGAAAACTCCCCACTTGCCCTCATTATCTCCTGTCTTTTACAGATATACAATCTGCCAGGTATGCAGCACAACAAATTCAACTCACGTTCCCGCTTGTCTGAAGAAGATTGTGTGTGGTACAGTGCCTGGGAAACTAATAAGCGCCCAGACTCAGTACGACACAGAGAACAGATGGATGTCTACAGATATGTGGAGGTAAGCTCTATTATCTATCGATAGGCTGTGCTGTGAATTATTTAGTTTTAATGAACCTCTATATTAGTAAAGAATTTTAGGCTTAGGCCAATGATATTATGAGTCACTGGCAGACCACCCACCTTACATGTAAATCTACATTTTGGAAAGTGGCCAGTCTAGACTATTTGTCTCCCTCTATTTCTGAAACTGTCACAGAGTGGGGATGAACTGCTTAGTAGTAGTAGTAGTAGTAGTTGTTGTTGTTGTTGTTGTTGTAGTCATATTAACGGTTTTTCAGACAGGCTCTCATTATGTAGCTCTGGATATCCTGGCTCTCACTCTGTAGACCAGGTTGGTAGCAAACTCACAGAGATCTGTCTGCCTCTGACTCTCAAGTGCTGGGATTAAAGGTGTGTGTGTCACCATGCATGGCTGTGAGTAATTTCTTAAGAATAACAGCCTTGCATCAGAGAGAAGGCCCTCACATATGGCTCACTATAAATTCTATGTTCCTCACTGTACTCCCTCATGAGTATGAGACACACAATTTGAGTAGGAAATCTACTTCAACATGGAAAACTATATGTGAAGTATTTACTGAGATTTTAATATCTCCTGTTTTTCAGGATTTTGAGGTATTTTGCTTGATTTATACTTTTCTTTCTAGGACATGGGTTTAACAGCATTCACCAATTTGAAGATTAAATATCCTATATTTTGTTTGCACTATGACATGCTTCCAATGGCAGGTAAAAATAACAAATCAGTAGTTTCAGAACAAAATAAATGTGAATTATTTATCAAAGCTGGTAAAATAAAATTGCAATGCATGTATAGAATCCAAGTAAGAGCAAAAGAACCCAAGCTTACTGGAGAAAAATGTGCCCAGATGTATGCTGCTACTACAAGGCAGTTAAAAGCTTGACATTCATCTTTCAATGTTAAAATAAGAAAAAATGCAATAGTTATTGTGATACAGGATCGCTGTATGAAGTAAAAGAACTTCTGTAGATGTGTCATGAGAGGTGAAGAGAGTTCCATAAGCATTAGAGAGGAAAGAGACAGAAAATCCAGGCATTGCAAATAAAAGTGATGACAGGAGGGAAAATGCACACTCGTAGATTAATCAATGAACCATTTAATCTTTCTGTATTCCTCTCATCTGAGTCCCTTTCAGAGTGACTGCACCATTTGCATCCCCACCAACAGTGAATGAGGGTTCCCTTTCCCTGTATCTTCCTGTACCTTGTTCTAAGTTGTTTCGTTGACCTTAGCCATCTTGACTGGGATGAAATGAAATCTGAGTTGTTTTAATTTGCATTTGCTTAATTGCTAGCATAACAAACAATATGAGAAGATATGTCATAACCTTTTGAAATTTCTTTTGAAACCACTGTTCAGATCCACGGCCCATTTTTTTAAGTTGGGTTGTTTGTTTTCTCAACTCTTTGGTTTTTGAGTTCTTTGTACAGTGTAAGTATTTATCCTTTGTCAGATGTAGAGTTAGCCAAAGTTTTCTCCCACTCTCTGAGCTTCCACTTCACTCAATTGATTGTGCCCTAATTGTGCAAAAAAGCATTTCAATTTTGTGAGGTCCCCATCTGTCAAGCATTTACTGTGATTTCTAGTTGAATGGGTCTCATTCACAGTCCTTGCCCACACATTTTGTAGGGGTTGCTACATATAGTTCTTCCTCTAGCAGTTTCAGGTTACATGTTGAGTTCCTTGATGCATTTGGAGTTGATTTTTGTGCAGGGTCATAGACATAGGTTCCCTTTCATTCTTCTATGTGTGAGCACCCAGTCTTCCCAGCACCATTTGCTGAAGATGCTGTCTTTCCTCTCATGTATGTTTTGGCATCTATGTCAACTACCAGATGATTACATGATTGTGTTTGGGCCTTGTATTTTGTTCCATTGAGCTACATGTTTATTTTTGTGCCTTTAATATGCTGGTTTTATTACTATACCTCTGTAATATAACTTGAAATCATGAAACCTTATCTTTATTATTATTCATATTCTAAATACTAAAATTTATATCTGTGTTAACATAAAATAAAACATTATTCTGACTGGACTACATTAATTTCCCTTATACTGATTTGAAAAGAAAATGAAATATTTTCACAAGTTTGTAAATACAATAGGACCTGAGGCACTGTGACTACTCTAGACAATGGAATAACTGGACAACTATCCTGTAGTTGTTAAGGTAATGGGTGATGAACTTAAAACAATAGAAATCACTTAGTACTTGAAGGCAAATAGAAAGACCGAGGTCAGGTTACAGGTTGTGGCTATCACAGGGAAGGACCTACAAAAATGAAGCTCTGTGTGTGTCTATAAATTAAGAAATTGGGAGAGATTTTCTATGCTTAGAAGTCAGTTGGGAGACACTTATGTGAAGCCCTTACTAAATCTGCATATATACTTGTTCTTGAAAAAAATGCAGAGTACAAATACTCTATCACCAGCTTTAAATTCTACCTTTCTTGCCAGTACAAACCCAAGCTGATGCTATGATTCTTGGGTAATAAACTTTCTATTACTAACCAAGAGTTTGTACTCATACCTCTTTCAGTTTTTATACAAATTGAAAGCATATTAAAATATTGGGTTGAGCGTACAGATCTTAAAAAAGACAAAACATTGGAAGAATATCTCTGCTGATAATCTAGACATCATTCAGCTCTTGTCTGGAGTGATTCTCATTGTAGCCACAAGATTTGTTATCTAGAATTGTACTATAGATCTTCATTCCTCCTAAGGAGCACATTGTATCTGTAAGCATTCAATAACTATCCAATATGCAATCCAAGAAAATCTGAAACATAGTTTGTTTCAATGGCAACTACTCTAGGTGATGTTACACCTTTGACAAAGATGTTTCCCAGTCTCCTCCAAAATGAGTAATTCAATGCATCAGTTTCAATGTAGCTGTAATAGTGTTTAACAGTCAAGAAGAAACTGAAAATTAAGCTACATTTATACTGCACCATTGTGTTCCATTGTGTTCAATTTCTATGTTCATTTCTTTCATTGTAACTTCATAGGTCCTGTTTCAGGATCTGATAATAAACTTTCCTCTGAACGTTCTGGACATTTACGCTTGGTAGATAATAAAGATCCACCACCTAAAGATCCACCACCTAAAGATCCACTTATTGAGACTATTCGAACATATTTTCCTGAAACCTGGGTCTGGGATATAGTCACAGTAAAGTAAGTGATTTCCCTTTTTATGATTTGGGCAGGATATAAACATTTCCTTAGTTTCCTTGTATTTCTCTAATTAATTTTATCATAAGCAAAGGAATTTGGTCATTTACAAAACTACAGCATATCAACCCATCGAGTATACAATACAAGTATTTCTATCGCTCCCAGAAAATGCACAGAAGAACTATCATGTACCTTCCTAATAGTTAAAACTATTCAGGATCACCATATTGACTAGTAGGTGAGGCAGTCTTACATGGAGCAGACTATGGGACAGCTACATGGAGTAAGCCAAATAAGTCATAAAAGTGTTGTATAATATTTTGAAGATGGGAATTCAGAGAAAACTTTAAATCTTTATTCAGATTTTCACTAACCTATGAACTTTGAGACATTGCGGGGCTAAGACTTGAATTGGTAAAACAAGGTTAGAGAAAGATCTTTTATTGTGCCATCTGGAGTCCCACTTACTCTGTTCCCAATCTATCACTCCATTCAAAGACTTAAAGGGATGGTGTCTTGTCACACCCAGAATTATGATCTCAGAGACAATGAATTCATGTGCTCACTTTCTGTATTTTACAAACCTACTCTCCCAGCTCCTCAGGAGTGGCTGAAGTGGAAATGACTGTCCCTGACACCATCACTGAATGGAAGGCTGGAGCCCTCTGCCTGTCCAATGATACTGGCCTTGGTCTTTCCTCTGTGGCACCTCTCCAAGCCTTCCAGCCCTTCTTTGTGGAGCTCACAATGCCCTACTCTGTGATTCGTGGAGAAGCCTTCATGCTCAAAGCCACTGTGATGAACTACCTCCCTACAAGCATGCGGGTGAACACCTTTCTAAATTAAGCATGACCAGAGGGGAAGAGGGCAATTAGTGTGTGTAAATTATAACTAAGACTTAAAGGAAAAGAAGAAAGAAAGTGGAGAAGAGATTGTATTGTACAGGTCAGCAAGTGGTTCCAAATGCTTGAACAATTCCCAGATTCTAGCTACATATATAGAGAAAAGAGTTGTTTAACAGTATGGATACTACATAAAATTAGATGATTTTTGCCAGTATTTAAACAGCACATACTATACTGACAGAAATAGAATATTTCATGTAGCCCCTGTATACAATCAAAGGACATGGTCCACATAGATACAGGAGGTTGTTGTCACGGTAATATGGCATATTGATTTACAATGGATTTTGCTTTTATTAGAGGTAGGCGTATACTTTAAAAGAGTAGTTAAAATTTAATACAGTAAATGTACTTCTGCCATCAAAATAAAACAAATATAAGTAAACATATGTGTAATTATCTCCTTAATGGCTAGTGTACATAATACACAGGTGATAGCTAAATAAAGTTCTGGACAAGTATGTGCAGATGAAATCTATGCAAACCTTCTGTGTCAACTTAGGTGACGTATTAGGCCTGCTTTCAAACACATCCCTTCCTGTTCTCTTTCTAATACAAATCCTCTTCAGATTCTTTTGCCTACCTACTCCCATGTATAACACGTTGTCCTTCCATGGCAGCATCTTTTTTTTCATTTATTTGTTTTGCTCTTTCTTTTTCCCTGTTGGGCCACAGATGGGTGTGCAGCTGGAAGCCTCTCCTGATTTCACAGCCGTCCCAGTACAAAAAGATCAAGATTCTTACTGTCTTGGTGCCAATGGGAGGCACACCTCATCCTGGTTTGTAACTCCCAAAACTTTAGGTGAGTGAAAATTTTGTAAGGAAGCTCTACACAGAAACAGTGAGTGTAGGAAGTTCTTCAGTTACTTTCTTCTATTGGGTCCCCAAGGTGAAGTTCACAGTCATTGCTTCTACTGGCATGTACTTACAACCTACTTAAATATAAGACACATTCTTGAAACACTCCTAGAACTGAGGATACCCTGCAGATCTTGGGACTTGGTCGATGCCAGGTTCCTGAGCTCAGCTCTTTGGACCATTTGTTTCAGGGAATGTGAATTTCTCAGTGTCTGCAGAAGCACAACAGTCCCCAGAACCCTGTGGTTCTGAGGCGGCCACAGTTCCTGAAACTGGGAGAAAGGACACAGTAGTCAAAGTCCTGATAGTTGAGGTGAGTAAACTTCCTCAGTTGGCAGTGTGCTGAGTCCAGAAAATGAAGCAATGTTGACTATATTTAGATGAGAAACATAAGATATTAACACACAACTTTGAAGTAGGTCATATCTGGAAAGCCCATGCTTTTAAACCCACATACGCTCTGTTCTTTTCCCTTCCTAGTCTTGAAATTGATAATTTTGGGGCAGGAAGGTCTTATGACCCTACACTTCTCTTTATTATCTTTCCCCATTGCCTTCTTTTTGACCTGGAGTGCCCAAATTCTCACTTGCTGAAGCCATTCCAGCCCATCACCTTACAAGTAAAACTGTCTTTCCAAAGACAAAACAAAACAAAAAACTGTCTCCAGCAATTCTGTGTTTGCACTCTCAGTGTTTGATTTCTCATGTCTGAATTTCCTATCTTTTTGTCCAAGCCTGAAGGAATCAAGAAAGAGCATACCTTCAGCTCACTGCTCTGCCCATCAGGTGAGAACTTGTCAAAGCACAATGAGATAGTAACTTAAGTTGCTTAATAAGCGATCTTGCAGTATTCCTATAAGAAAATCAGAATAGTGTATGCCTTGTAACCCTAAAACACTAACAAAACTGAGTCTCATGAATTAAGATCATCATTTACCTGATGCAGCTCTCAAAACTATTGTTCACTGAGGGCTTCAAGGTTCACTGTACCCTCTTTTGGTTTTTAGAATTCATAAGCCTCTTCATCCATCCCAATACTTAAAAAATTATTGAAAATGAATGACTGAGATCACAGTTGGTATTTTCTCTAAAAAGGGGGGGGGTAGAAATATAGAGAATATATTGGAAGCATCATATTTGTTTTGTATCTGATAATAAATAAAAACAAAGATTTATATGGCTGAAAAATTTCATACATAGGCCAACCTAAAAAATGGTTTGTACTTAGCATAATTTTTTCTCTAGTGGAGGTTTTTATGACTTGCTCTTTTATCTCTGCTCCTCACTAGAATATAACTATAGCAAAGGAAATATAGAACCATACCATGCAAGAGAAAGCTCACTTTCTCCTATGAAGGACAAGCATAAAGTGAGAGACTGATCACTTACAATAATGACTGCATTCCCAGTACCTCTGTTAACAAGTGCTTGTTGTAGCTACTTAAAACATAATTGTCAAAAGAATAAAGAAATTAGAATAACAACTTTAAATTAATGTAAAATCCATTATTATATTAAAGTTAACAAAGAGATTAAATAAAGCAACTTTCTTTCTTAAGCAGACAAACTAATGTAACAATTCCTAATACAGTGGGTGGAAGAAAATCATCACATAATACTAAAATACTTTAAATGTTTTCCATGAAAGAAAGAGCAGAAATGAGAGGTGGATCACTGAAGATATATTTTTTTTAATCCAAAGACAGAATAACAAAAGCCCTATTCTTGCCACTGGTCAGCTCTGCTTCCCTTCATAGTTACTGATTACAGTGTAATCTACCCACTATCCCTGTCATAGGAAAGTGTCCAGGACAGCTGCATGGAAGAGATCAGAGAGCCTCCCAACTAACTCAGGGAACAGGAAGAACAAAAGCCGGCTCAGGGTTTCTCCATTCCCTTATTCTGACATATGGGATGTTTACTCACACATTGCTTTGTTTTAGGGTTCCATCCTTGTGCTAAAACACCATGACCAAAAGCAACTTGGAGAGGTGATCAGCTTACATGACTACAGTCCATCATGAAGTGAAGTCAGGGCAGGAATCTGGAAGCAGGAACTGAAGCAGAAGCTGTGGAGTGGTGCAGCTTCCTAGATTGCTCTGCCCTTGCTCAGTTTGCTTTCTTATACACCACAGATGGTGTACACTGGGCCAGGACCTGCCACATCTATTACTAAAAAAGAAAAGCTTCAAGACTGGCTTACAGCCCAAGGGTTAGGGAGGCATTTTCTCAATCGATGTTCTCCATTCCCAGAAAACACTAACTTAAGTCAAAGTACACACACACACACACACACACACACACACACTTTTCCTAAACCAAAATTCAGTCAATAACACAGTTTCATGTGTTTATTAAAATAACTAAGTAGGGCATTGATAGAGGTAGAGTATCACAGATCCAAGAGGCTCGGACACTCCATTTTGTACAGATGGTTTGGTTCAAAGCAATGGGTGATGAAAGGGAAGGCAATCGAGATTGAAAAGCCTATGGTACCAGGAAATGTAGATTTGTGATATTTACCACAAGATCATTTCTTCTAGGGAGGCAAGAACTCAGAGCTTAAGACACGGTTCTGAATCCACTGATCTCAGGGCACTTTAGATGTGCAGAGAACAGAGATAATCATCTACTTGTTTGTTTTGCTTATTAAGATGCAGAGGTATCAGAAAAATTGTCCCTGGTGCTCCCACCAACGGTAGTGAAAGATTCAGCCAGAGCCCACTTCTCTGTGATGGGTGAGTCAATCCATCCCTGAGAGACTTGTAACAATAGTCACTAACACTACCCTGTCCCCATCAAGATTCCAAATGTAGAGTCTGAACTACTACACTTGATCTCTTTAACGTCCTTAATACCCACTAAATAATACCGGTAATATTTAATAAATGGGGCTGTGCGGGCCGACAATCTAAGTGGCAGCATTTCTGCTTAGTTCAAGCTGCCATGCTCCATGATCTGAAGCCAAGTGTTCCTCAGCTGGAAGAGGCCAGAGGCCACTGGCGTGCCACAGCTAGAAATGGCCAGCCAGAAACACCAGCCCAGGCACCCACTAGATGCCAGCATGGGAGATGGCTCTGCCAATCTTCCACACTGTCTCCACAAGTCTGGGATGAGCCCAGATCATCACACCATCCACATGCTACCCAGAAGAAATGAGACTCTAATGTTGAAAGATTATATAATAACTTTATATATTTGGTAATGCTCAAATAACAAGAAGCCCACACAATTAGAGGTGTTACCCTTTACTAACCTAGATATTACAAATACCTTTGACTGCTGGAGACACACGTACATCCGCTGCCATTTTCCCCTCTCTCTCCATTTCTTTTTTCCTATCTCCTCCTCTGCCTTCTCCTTACTACTCCCACATTAGCTCCTCCCAAAATACTGAGTTAAATATAGTGGGAAATACACCACTATGCCCACTGAGTTCCAGCACACATCACCCATAAAATTCCATCACATCACAGAGAAGTGATTTTATTAAAGATGTTATTTTGTTCTTGAAGAAAATGGCAATTCTGATGTCATGCCTCTCCCTTCCAGGTGATATCTTGAGTTCAGCCATAAAAAACACACAAAATCTTCTCCAGATGCCCTATGGCTGTGGGGAGCAGAACATGGTCCTTTTTGCTCCCAACATCTACATACTGAAATATCTGAATGAAACCCAACAGCTGACTCAGAAGATCAAGTCCAAGGCCCTTGACTTCCTCAGAGCTGGTCAGTAAGGCTCAGAAACTACACCTGCTTCTTGTAAATATTCTCTCTAGAAATGTCTAGAAATGGGCTTAGCATTGGAGGAGAGAGCTGAGCAATGTTCTCGGTCAGTCCCATAAGCCAGGGTACATGAGGATCTATTTGACTTGAGATTTACTGCCTGCCATTCTCTGATGTATCAGTGTCTTCAGAATACACACAAAGCCTTCTATTCCAGGTTATCAGAGGGAACTGAACTACAAACACAAGGATGGCTCCTACAGCGCCTTTGGGGATCAATCTGGCCAGAGTCAAGGAAACACTTGGTAAGAATGGTCCACTGTATGCCAGGCCTTGTACAACACTTGTACCTCACAGCAGCTATACATGCATCTTGTTTCATGGAAGTCTAGCAGATGCCTGGACCTGAGAGGGACATGTCTGAGGTAACACAAGTCATAGATTGCAGGAGTAAGATCCCCTCAAGGCTCATCTGCTTTGACTCTGAACCATGTGCTTTACTGTCTTCAGTAAGCTGGCATTTTCATTTATCACCAACACCATTCATCAATAAACGCCTGGCTACACTTGGCTGAGCATCCAAAGATGCTCATAACTGAGACTTGAAAAGCTGATGCTATTCTGCATGTGACCTTGTATTGCATAAGAATGTATTATTGATGGCTGTTAGAGATGGCCCAGAGGTTAGGAGCACTAACTGCGCTACTAAAGGTCCTGAGTTCATTTCCCAGCAACCACAGGGTAGCTCACAACTGCTTATAATGGGCTCTGATGCCCCCTTCTCGTTTGTCTGAAGACACCAACAGTGTCCTCACATACATAAAATAAATAAATAAATCTTTTAAAAGATTATTCTCTAACTTAAAATTTAAAAAAACAAAGACTGTGTTATTGAGATAAAAACACACAAATGACAAACAGGTGACAGGAAAAAGAGACCGGCAAAATGAGAGAAAAACCAAGAAGAGGGATCTAATTTTATGAGGCAGAAAACATATAGCTGGGGTTTTTATGAAAAGAGATTATTCTTATCAACAAACAGAAATCACAGGAAGTGGGGAATGCCTATGATAAGCATACAGGTGTGTCACATAAACACCAGAGGGTCCAGGATAGAAGCAATGAGAAAGGAAAGCGGGAAGCACCTTTAACCACACCTAGTGAGTGCACATCCAAGTGGACCAAGGAATGGAAGACTTCTTTGGAGCAGCCAGAGTGACTGTCTAGCTGTTCTTCTCAGAGACCTTTAGACTGATTCCTCAGGAGTATGGACCCAGCCCCTGGAAACTCATGTGTGGAGGAGCTGCCTCATAACTAAAGCTTCATCCCCCACTCTCCCTCTCTCTCCCATCAGGCTCACAGCCTTTGTGCTCAAGTCTTTTGCCCAAGCTCGAGCCTTCATTTTCATTGATGAGTCACACATCACCCAAGCCTTCACCTGGCTCTCCCAGCAGCAGAAGGACAATGGCTGCTTCCGGAACTCTGGGTCACTCTTCCACAAGGAGTTGAAGGTGATCTTTTCTGAACTGATGATCTAATAACATCTTAAAGTCAGGTCATACTACCTACCATGGGGAGGAATAAGCCTCTAGGTTGGGAATGTACTTTTTCATAATGGGGATATGAATGGGAACTTCCGTTGAATACATGGATTGGCCACGAGCGGGGAAGACAGTGTTGATAAATGGCTTGCTGTATGTTCTGCTGATTTCACTCCTTGTTTGCAGGGGGGAGTAGATGATGAAATGACCCTCTCTGCCTACATAACCATAGCCCTTCTGGAAAGTTCACTTCCAGCCACGGTAGGCGCCATGTTGCTTTTCCAGCATCCAAAAGTGGTATAAACCCTGTGGTTTTTTAACCTTTCTAAAGTCAAGTGGCATCTTCCCTTTTGTTTTGTTTTGTTTTGTTTTGTTTTGTTTTGTTTTCAATGCTTTGCACTTGTCTGATTCCATTAATGAGCATCCACTTGCTCAATGAAACCCTGGATATGTTACAAAGATCAACCTGAAAACACAAGCTCTGATAACTGTCCCTGTTAGTGTGTATCTTAAATGCAACGCAATTTATAAAAAGAAATGGCTCCCAAAAGAGAGAAGAGAGGGTAGACAGACAGTCAATGGCAAGAAGAAGATAGAAAAGAAATAAGGGGGGAGGGAAAGAGGAAAAGAGTGGAAGTGAGAGAACAGGAAGGAAGAGAGGGAGGGAAGAGCAAGGGATGTAGAGAAAGGGAAGGACAAATGGATAGAAGGAAGAGAAAAGAATGTGGGAGAAAGAATGGGGAGTAGGAAGCGAGAGAGGAGAGGGGAAGGAGAGGAGGGCTGGGGAGGGTAGAGAAAGTAAGGTAGGGAAGGAGAAAGGAAGACAGGGAAGGAGAGGAAAGAAGGGAGAGGGAAGGAGGGTAAAGGAAGGGAGGAATGGAAAAGAGTGGGAAGGAGGAGAAGGAAGGGAAGGGGAGGAGAGGGAGGATTGATTTGAAAAGCATAAACACTGTTGCCTCCATATTTGTCCTGGGACCTGCTAGGACCTTTTTCACATAGCTCAGTTTTCCTTGTTCTACCAAAAGCATCCCATCGTCTCCAAAGCCCTGAACTGCCTGGAATCATCCTGGAAGACCATAGAGCAAGGAGGAAATGGCAGCTTTGTGTACACCAAGGCGTTGATGGCCTATGCTTTCGCTCTGGCGGGGAACCAGGATAAGAGAAATGAAATCCTGAAGTCACTTGATAAGGAAGCTATAAAAGAAGGTAGGAATGTGTGTTCTCATGTGTGTCTTCATCCAGCTCGAGTGTAGGAAAACAGGGGAACATATGTAGTGTGGAAAGAGCATTACATGTCAGTCCCATCTCTATGGCACACTGAGGATTTTCCTTGGGCTGCCGCATTCAGAAATGTGCCTTCTATACAAAAGCCTTCTGTTTGGTATTTCTGATAGTGTGACCAAAATCAACAAATACAATATCACAGTAGAACACATGCAGGTCTACCTCTGTTACAAAGGTGAATGTAGTTAAAGCCCAGCTTTTCTCTGCTACCTATAAACCTACCAGGAGCAGCAAAGACTGTGAAGAACACAAAGAGGAAAGATGCATCAAGGTTTTGTTATTTCAGTGGCAACACTGACCCCACTGGGAAACTTTACTAAGTCATTTGATTTGAATTCTGAACAAGGTTCATTTTGTTGGGTATGAAGGAGTTAATGAGTAAAAGAATTGTGCCTGCTACTTTCTCTTCACCAGCTCTGCTAGAACAACGTTGATGATGCCATTTAGTTAATAACTTACACATTTCTGTCCGTGTTTTTTCTCAATCACGACCCATAGAACCAAGCGAAGGTTTTTACTTTGGATTAGTAAATGTGACCTTATTGTGAGTGAAATTTTTAAAACCTCCTACAACCTTTTATAGTTACTTTTTTCTGCATATGGACATGCAATCATTGACCACTCAGGCTTTTGATTATTTCTCTATTTTTACCCTAAGACAACTCCATCCATTGGGAAAGACCCGAAAAACCCAGGAAATCTGAGGACACTTTATACAAACCCCAGGCTGCCTCTGCTGAGGTAGAGATGAGTTCCTATGTTGTTCTGGCTCGACTCACTGCCCAGCCAGCCCCAGCCCCTGAGGACCTGACTTTGTCAATGAGCACCATCAAGTGGCTCACAAAGCAGCAGAATTCCCGTGGTGGCTTCTCCTCCACACAGGTCAGTGGTTTCCCTTCATAGTCTCCATGGACTTAGGGGATTTGAAAAAGAGATGCAGATGCAGGGACCATAGAAAGATGAAGAGGCGAGAACAAGGGCATGTTACTTGTGGATATTTTTTGTCTGTAGGAAGTGAGGCCTTTTGTATTCCATAATAAATTTCCCTAGATCCTGTGCCCGATGACAGGAGTTCTCTTCAGACTACACTTAATGAAACAGGCCTATGTTGCCTAGAACTTCTAACCCAGATCCAATCCTTGATATAAAACAATGACAAAAATCCTGGACTATCCAGAATCCTAGACATAGTTTGTACACTCTAGAACAGCATGTGGAAACCTAAGACCAAACCAACATGAATATTGCGCTACTGGACTTAGGTACAGCTATTTCCCTTCTCCTGATAGACTCTCCTTAATCTTATGGAAGGGTAGATAACCCTCAGGTTTTCTCCAAGCTACCCAGAAGTCCTGCTGCCCCACTTTACTTCTTGATACTTGGGAAGAGCTAGGATTGTAAACTATTCACTTTATCATCTAGACAGTATAACTCTCACGGGGTAATATCTCCCACCTCCAAAAATATACATCTACCATAGTAACTATAATGTATTATGGGCATATAGGGCAGAATTAATCCCCAGAGAAGTATAGTGAGACAGTATGGTCCTCTAAAGGAGAAATACAATGTACAAAAAGAAAACTTCCGTGATACTAGCCACCATGCTTTGAATCTCAGTTCTTTCCCTCTCTCCTTTCAATAGACATAAGTGTTGTCATTATAAAACCCTCAATACATCCATCTGCTCTCTTGTTGGACTGTGTTCTCAGTACAGCATCTGGAGCTCCCTGGATAAGAAAGTATCATATGACAGAGCTCCTTCCTGGAGCATGAATCCTACACTTGCACAGAGCATACCACCGAGGAGCAAGGCAGTGAAGGACAACACTAGATCATAGATTTTTTTCTATTTAATAAGACTGAATCATGACAGGCACTTGGCCATCCTGTTTGTATGTCTTGGTGACTCAGCAAGGGCAAAAGTAAGTTTGTTGAGGAGACCAGCGTGATTTTGTGGGAAGATGGAGGGTGTAACCATTGGAACCTGTAACAATTGGAAGAAAAACAACAAATGCTGAGAGGAAAATCTAATTTGTATTTGTATTTTCTGTTGGCGGTAGGGGTTGATTCACATATGCTAGGCTACTCTAAGGAGAAAAAAACATGTGAGTGTTTTTGACTCTCAAACATACTCTATTTAAAAGCCTGAAATAAAGTCTAGAGCTCAAATAATTAGAGACAAAATCTCCTGACAGTTTGTCAGAGCTAGAATAAACTTTGGGAAGAGCTCAAGACCTTCCAAATGGATGTTATCCTGAATATTTTTATTCATTCCTGTCAGGACACTGTGGTGGCCCTCGATGCTCTGTCCAAATATGGAGCAGCTACTTTTTCCAGAAGCCAGAAATCTTCTTTGGTGACCATCCAGCCTTCAGGGTCATTTTCCCAAATGTTCGAAGTAGAGAACAGTAATCGCCTGTTACTGCAGCAGGTCCCATTACCAGACATTCCTGGGGACTATACCATAAGTGTGTTGGGTAAAGGATGTGTGTATGCTCAGGTAAGATGCTGGGAAGTTGTGGGTATGCAGCTGTGAGCCTCCTTCCCCAAAATGGAAAGTCTGGCTTTGCCTACCTGCACACATTATGTTCAAACTGGAAAAATTGATCCAAGGATGCAGTACAATGGAGGTGAAGTATTTCTGTTCACTACTTATCAGACTACGCTGAGATACAACATGCAATTGAAGAAGCAGGAGGCTCCATTTGCTTTACGGGTACAGACAACACCTCTAACCTGTAACAATCCCAAAGGCCACAACAGCTTCCAGATCTCACTAGAAATCAGGTATGCGATAGGCATGTGTCTGTGTCTCTGTATGAGCATCTGACTCTGTCTCTCGGCTACCATAGGGCTATCTTCCTAGAACTCCTCATAGAACAGGTTTGAAGGTATCTAAAATGGGTGTCTTCATTAAAAGTTTTGCTTTGTTAAAAAAATGAATAAAAATACTGAAATTCAGCTAAATCAACAATGAAGAATTGTAGAATCATAATTTCTAATAAGTCTACTTTTAGATATTGTTTCTTGCCATTTATCATAATAAAATAATACATTATTCTTTTCCATGAGACTTTAACTTGGGTTGTTCTTTTCACCAACAAGGAATAGCCTTCCTGGTCTTTTAAAAATCCATTTTTTTTAAGAAAAAGACATTCAGTTCTTCCGACACTCATCAAAAACTTCATACAAAATATAACCTGCAACAAGATCCAACTGCAGAAAATGAAGGGATCTTGCATGGAAAGAATTCATCCAATCCATAGTGTGACTTATCATCATACATGTGTGTGTGTGTGTGTGTGTGTGTGTGTGTGTGTGCGCGCGTGTGTGTGTGTGCCAGCATGTGTGTGTATGACAAAGGACAATGTCAGCCATAAGCCCTCAGGTTCCATACAAATTTTTTTTGTTGTTATTAGGTCTATTACCAGCTGAGCAGACTCTTGTCTCATCAGCATTCCTGGCAGATACAGCCATTTTAATGCACTCTCCAGATAATTATGTGATGCAGATTATTTATAATGATTATAAAGGCCATATATTTTTAAGGTTATGGAAAAATCACAGAGGCTACATCAGGAATTACTGCTGGTCCTCAAAAGAGGCAAGATTCAAACTATTAAAATGACTCCTTCTGTCCACTTCTCTGGTCTGCAGTTACACGGGGAGCCGTCCAGCCTCCAACATGGTGATTGCTGATGTGAAGATGGTATCTGGTTTCATCCCATTGAAACCAACAGTGAAAAAGGTAAACAGAGATGAGATGTTTGGATTCTCTGTATCCTCAGACTAGGTCCTACCAACACCATCATAGTTCTGTCAACCCATGCCTGAGCAATGTTAGCACTCATTTGACACACTTGAAGTTGTTAAAATACTGATTGATATAGATATGGATTGTGATAGCAGCCAGCATAAGAAACATAAGAAAGGTGTCTGAGATCATTGAGTCAACAATCTAGCTAAAAGTAACTTTTAAAGTGTAATTGAACTGGTCAATATGATTCAAGGAAAAATATTATTAAATGACAAAATTGAAGTTGTAGTTTTAGATGTTTTAAGAACTATGAAAATTAACAAGGTAAGGTTGATAGCAGAGCTCAGAGAATATGGGGTAAGTACTGCCAAATGGATGACTATATTTATGTTCAAACAAAAGTCAAAAATAACTATTGCTACATCAGATCATATTCAGTCAGGCCTTTAGTAGAATAGCATTCACAATTTTCTAAATATATGTTCATTCTTACTGGAAAGACTTCTTCCCATTCCTTTAAGTGAATTCAATAACATCCCCTTTTTATCACCTGCAGTCCCACAGTTCATTTAGCTCTCTCACCCCAAGGCCTTTACTTTTTCAGTAACACAAGGGTTTTCTCTCATTTTCAGCTTGAGAAATTAGAGCACTTGAGCAGAACAGAAGTGAGCAACAACAACGTCTTATTATATCTGGATCAGGTAGGTTCCTTCCTGCCTCCTTAGACATGGCGAGGTGGACAGCCCTTGCCTGATCTATGTAGGTTGGGTGAGGGTCCTTCTGGTCTTCCTCTACATGCCAATTTAGAGAGTCTTTCTTGGTGAGTCCATGTGGTAAGCCCATAGAGAAGGTCAATTATGAAGGAAGCCTTTAGAATTAGAGGCGCATTCCTTCATACTACATGATACTTTCAGTTGTATCTTCTCTGGCCTGGATTCATAACTCAGCGTTAAGGGCACTTGCCGCTCTTGCAGAAGACCAGTATTCAGTTCCCTGGAGCATTACCAACTCAAAATTGTCTTTAACTCCAGTTCCAAGAGATCTGATTTCCTCTTCTGGGCTCCATCAGGACACACACACACACACACACACACACACACACACACAGGGAGAGAGAGAGAGAGAGAGAGAGAGAGAGAGACAGAGACAGAGACAGAGACAGAAAGACAGAGAGAGAAAGACAGAGAGAGAGAGACAGATATAGACAGAGAGAGAGATTGATTCTATATACAATAAAACAAATCTTTAAATCTTCTTTCCTCAATGCTAGCTTATCTGGGACTTAGCATAGAGTCCCAAGTCAGCAAGTCAAAGGGTTTAACTCTCACAATGAACAAAGTTAAACATTAAAGAGGAATATGGATTTTTGGAGTGGTTTAACAGACTGGAAAACTTCAATATACTCCCAGAAGCCTCTACTTCAGTTCCTCAAGTTGCCAGTCTAAAATCCATATCACCATATCACCATCCATATAGGTGGGCAGTTACTGAAGACAGTGACTGAAGACAGTGGGGTTAAATGCTATCTGATGCATAACTGAGTCACGTTGTAGGAAAACACTGGCCCTTTTGCAAAGTCTGGCTCATTTTTTCTCTCTTTCCCAGGTGACCAATCAGACGCTGGCCTTCTCCTTCATCATTCAACAAGACATCCCAGTAAGGAACCTGCAGCCTGCCATTGTGAAAGTCTATGACTACTATGAGACAGGTGAGTAAGAAATGGTAGTGGATCCCAAAGAAACTTCTTGTCCTTTTAGTTATTTGGGTGTTTTGTTTTGTTTTGTTTTGTTTTGTTTTGTTTTGTTTTGTTGTTGTTTTTACAGTTTCTCACTATGTAGCCCAGGCTGGCCCAAATTCTCAGCCTGTCCAAATGCTGATATTACAGACATATGCCATCATACCCACTATTAAGAACAACTCTTGTTCAGACACTGATCTATTATGTTGACCAGGCAACCACTTATAAATTTTGAGCTAATTCAGCTACTCATGCTATGTTTGTCCAAGAAATCATGTGCCATGTCTGAATAACCCAAGGGACAAAACCTTATAACAAGTAGGGTCTATAGGTTGAAATTCGGACAAAACTTCTTATGAATACAGCAATGGGAAGATGGAAGAGTTGTACAAATAATCACAGAAAGTATAAAAAGATGAGAATTGTAGATTGTGTGCTCTATGGTAACCAAAGAAAGAGTGCAAAGGTGAGCTGGGGAATTAAATGGAGGGTTTTCTGTCAAGAGAAGAGATACACATCAAATGTTTCATACAAGAATAATTCAAGAAATATTGAAGGAAAAGCAAAAACTTATAATGGAATCTGAAAGGATGTATGTCTCCACAGATCTTGGCTAGTACTCTGCTCAAACACTGTAGTAGAAGCACACTTTGATTTTTCTGTACAGGGTAAATTATTCCAGTGTTGTTATACATTTATTCCTTTATTTTTTGAGAGGCAGTGACATCATGGTGCCTTTGGAGGTCAATGGACCATTTGGAGAAATAGGTTCTCTGTTTCTGCCATGAGGATTCTGAAGACTGAACTCACTGAGGTCATCAGGCATGGCAGCAAGCACCTTTCCTCACTGAGCCATCTTGCTAGCCCAGGATAAAAATGTCAACCAGTAGCTTCAAGGGGAGAAAATCCCTCCTTTGGTTTCTCTGATGTTCCCAGAGAGACGACTTTTCAGCAATCATCCAGGTCCTGATTGAGGAAAGTGGTCAGTCATAACACATCACCTACCCTCCACAAAATCCTCTCAAAAACTCACATTTTCACGTTTGACTCCCATGTCTTTCAGATGAAGTGGCTTTTGCTGAATACAGCAGCCCCTGCAGCTCAGGTAAGCACCTAGCTTTCCTACCACGAGCCATCCTCTGACCTCCTTCTCCTCAAAACTACCCTGAATGTGGGGCAGTGAGCCATGAGAGACAGCTGGGCTCCTGGCTGAATGAGCTTTGAACCACGGAGAACCTCCTGGGATGGAAGGTGTTCTGCTTTATTCCTGTGAGCCTGGCTTTCTCAGCTTCAGCCCTCCACAGCTCCTCCCACAGAGAGGTCTATGGCCATCAGTCATGTAGGAGTAGTGCCCCAGGCTCTGCCACATGTAGATGAGGATTCCCAAGGTCTCAGACCAAGCCAATAGGGGTTACCTGCTGCCAGACCTTAACCCACCCCAAACTGTATATATTTAGCCTAACTCAGAAGTAAAGTGTGTGCAAGAGTCATCCCTTTGTCCAAGAGCTTCTGTTGTGGCCCTCCCCTCTTTGCCAGCTAACCAGTGCCTCACAAGGGCACCTCACCAGCTCAGCAAAAGCTGTAACACTGGGAAAGAGATCTGCTCTTTTCCCAGCGAGCTAGTCGGAACCTCCAAGCTCAGCAAAGAGCTGTAACATTTCAGAAGATGCAGGCTCTCCCGAAAAGCCTTCAGAATTCTCCCCTCTGCAGTTGAAGGCAGTGGGAGAGGCAGCAGCGGACTCTCCCTGCTGGCACTCCATCCCGGACTGCCCTTGGGCAGAGGCAGCTGCTATTCCCACTCTGTCCTCAGCCAAGCCAGAGATTCTCATCGGACCCCTTCCTGAGCTGGTTCCAGCACCTGAACTTTCGTTAGATGAACTCAGACAACTATCACTGAGTGAAAATGCAGAAATGTGCACCTTTGGATTGGTGTACTAACCCTGGAAGACTCCTCTAACTCTCTTATCAAAGTGTATGGTAGCTCATGGTAAAATCTGAAGGATACAGTTCTCCACCAAGGCCAGTTTACTTTCCTGCAGAGAACCCTGCTGTCTGTGCCCAGTTAGATTAAACTCATCACATGGGTTGTTTTCTTCTTTTCTCATACACAGAAAATCAAAATGTTTGAGACTCCTATCTGTGGACAAGGCATTGTTGGAATCCACAGACTCAGGAACCTTCAAGATGGTGATTTGTGTTTGTCTCTGAAATACAAAAACTGAACAAGCTTGGAAAATAAATGCATAGTTCTCGAGAGTCTCTAGCTGTGATTATTTCTTCTCTTAATCCAAATTTTCTCCATGTTCAGTTAGTGTTTTTCCCTATACCATACATTTGAGATGAACAGAAATGATATTTAAAGAGAAGAGCATACATTGTGAACATGAGGAACACTTTACAACTGTTCCAGTAAAACAGCACACCAAACATGAGGCATAACACAGTGGCAACCTTACCTCCATAAGAAAATCATGATAGTGTATTAGTGAGACAAGACTATATTGCAAGCAAGTAATGGTGGTTCAGGCTTGCTTTCAGAGCATTTCTGGGGGATGAGGCAGGAGAGTCACAGATTAAAAAATGAACCAGGCTACTTTGCAAATGCCAAGTGAACCTGGACTTCATAACAAGACTGTCTCTCAAAAATCAAAAGGCAGAGATTATGGCTTGATGGTAAAACACTTGACCATTTTCAAGTATGTGGATACAATTTCTAACAAAGGGAAAAAGCAAGGGATATAATACATCCAAGTAAAAACACTTTTTACAAAGAAAAATAGAGTCCTTTAGTGCCAGGAAAATGGCTGTCCTGACTGACAGTAGGGATGCCATGTTGAAGACCGCAATGATAAATCTATTAAGTTATGTAATGGAAGGCGTACTGATTGAATGCAAAATGTCCATGATGGGCTTGGGTGTTTGAGCACTTGTTTGGTCCCAAGCTGGTGCTGATCTACAAGGCTGTAAAAATCTTTGGAGGATGGGTCCTAGCTGGAAATAGAGGTGAAGCTTAAGAATTCTAGCCCAGCCAAGTTCTGTTTGTTTCTTGATCTATGAAGTATGAGGAATCCATTTCACAATTTTGCATCCTTGAACCTAAACATTCCAAACAACTATGCTTCCCTACCATAACAGACTGGTGTCCCCTGGACCTGGGAACCATCAGCTGATGATCAAGTGTTCACACACATGAGTCTATGGATGCCCTGGCCTGGGGACTGTGAACTGAGACTAGGGGGCCACCTGAAAGAGAGAACAGGGAAACAAGGGGCATGAAGAATGGACAGAAAGTCAAGTGCTCTAATCAAGCTGTCAAATTTTTATTGTCCCCACACCAGGTTATATACACAGAGAAGCAGGATATGGGGTAGGGGGTGATGTAGGGTCTCTTTGTTCCTGGGGAGTGCAGATGTTTTCAGGGGGGATTGCAGGTGTTCTCAAGAACAGGATGTTGGCTGAGTGAAAAGTTCAGCCAAAGGAACAGAGCAGAAGAGGTTGCTAGGTACCTCTCCATAAGATCTATAGGTATTTATCCTTAACTAAGCTAGTACTTTCCCACAGAGGCTGCCTCTCCACAAGATCTATAGCTACTTGTTCTCAACTGGGATAGTACTTTCCCACAGAGACCAAGACTTTGTGCCAGTAAGCACAGATGGCTGGAAAAGCAATTAATGTTTAAGCAAGGTTGCCCCCAACATATGGAGATATTTGACATTCAAACCTAACAGTGGGTTAGCCTGTTATTCTGGAGCCTGTGGGAAGGCATCATGTCACAGGGGGGATCCACTCACTTAAGGATCAGAATTTAAGAGAGAGAAATGAGAGGGCAGAGTCCCATAATCCTCTCTGTGAACTATCTTTTGCCCATTGGCCAACTCCTTTTAAAAGTTCCACTACTTCCCAATAGCACCACAGGCTGAGGGCCAAACCTTGAACACAAGTATACAGCTATAAAGCTCATAGTTGTTAATGTGACCTTTTCATGGGTGGTGGGGATTTAAGAGCTGAATGATGTCCTCACAGGGCTAGTGGGACCTGGCTCCTCTTCACTGCCTTACTGTTTTTCTTTGGTGACCATGAGATAAGAACTTGACTTAGTTTTGCTTTGGTTTGCTGTGTCTTGTGGCCTCTGTGCTTCCTCAGCACAGAACCTGAAAGAGCAGGAATCATCAATCAATCAAACTGAAACTTCCCCTTTTAAGTCGATTGTGGCAGATACATGCTCCACTAAACAAAAGGCTATCCTAGCAGAAGCAAGAGGGCAGTGTTTACTCATGCCACTGTGAGACTGGGGAAATGAGTTGAGGCTAATGTATCAAGGGTCTTTATTACAGCTGTGTATTCACGTGTGGTTTCAGAGGGCAACAAATGGGGAACAGAGGTGTGATGGGAAGGTTACAATGTCTGTCTCATGACTGGTTATAGATATATTTTACTTCTTTAGAACGTTTGTTATTTAATATTTAGGGAAAGCCAAAGTAGTTTCAGCCACTACGATAAGTTCTAGGACAAAAAGAGTCTCCTAAGAGATTTTAACAGTGGAACTTTTCTAAAGATTGGACCCAGTTTCTTGTGCAAAATTTTTAGACTCCGTTTAGGTAAGTAACTGGAAGAAAAATGTGTTTCCAGAGTCATTGCATATCTTTTTTATTAATAATCATTTTATTCATTTACATTTCTAATGTTACTCCTCCAAAAATTCCCCATCCCATCCCACATTTCCCTCCTCCAGTTTGCATCTGTGAGGGTACTCCTCCACCCACTCACCCATTCCCACCTCACCCCCCCAGCATCCCCCTATGCTGGGGCATCAAGCCTCCCTCCCCTCTCACTGATGTCATATAAGGTCACCCCCACTACATATGTATACGGAGTCTTAGATCCCTCCATGTATACTCACTGTTTTGTGGTTTAGTCCCTGGAAGCTCTAGGTTGTCCAGTTAGTTGGTGTGTTCTTCTGATGGGGTTTCAATCCCCTTCAGCTTCTACAGTCCTCCCCAGAGTTTTTCCATTGGGATCCCTAAACTCAGTCCAATGGTTGGCTGTGAGCATCTGCATCTGTATTGGTCAGGTGTTGGTAGAATCTCTCAGGGAACAGCCATATCAGGCTCTTGTCAGCAAGCACTTCTTGACATCAGCAGTAGTGTGGGGGTTTGGTGTCTGCAGATGGTATGGATCCCTAGGTGGGTGTATCTTATTTTGAAGTGGAATTAGGAATGGGAGACTATTCAAATTAGGTCAGGTGCAGATAAGTGGGATTTTAAAGTATAAATTCTATTTATGAGAGACAGATGGCATGTGCTGGATGCATGTCTCATATTCTGTGTGCTGTTGTTTGTTATTTAAGGTGTTTCCTATGTTTGCTGCTGTTGTACCCAGAAGTAGCTGAAACCTCATGCCCCCCATCTCCCAGCACAGTAAGGACTCAAGTTTTACAATGGATTTTGCTTTTGTTACAGGTATGTATATACTTCAAAACAGTGGTTAAAAACCTACTACAGTAAATGTATTTTTGTCATCAAAATATAACAAATATAAATAGACACATATATAATCATCTCCTGAATGGTTTGTGTAGATAATACATAGATGACAGCTAAATAAAGTTCTAGACATGTATATGTCTAGATTACCACATAGTGGCAGAAAAAGCTAAAAACATAAGTACTGCCATTTTATTAAAACCAGGGCAAAAAAAAAAAAAAAGAAATTGGAAACATATCACAGTGGGTGGCCCTATACCACAGGCCGACAGACAGCTCTGACTGGACTCAGAGCAAGACAAAAGAGGAAGAAAAGAAAGAAGATGAAGTTGAGAGAAGGACATGAGGTGGACAAGATCTTCAAAGAATAATATAAAATGGCCAAAAGGAAGAGAGATAGGGGAAAGGGAAAAAACTGTCGAAAGTAAAAATGGTAAAATAAAAAAGTAACATATAAAGCATAATGTTCCATTCTCTTTAACCCAACAAATCCACAGTCCAACCTTCCAGGGTAGATTTTAAAAGATTAAACTCCAGTAATAAGAAAGTCTAGAGAAAATAATGAATTTCTAATCATGTATGTGACTGATAAACTATATATGTTTCTTGGCATACATATGACTAGACCATACACATTTCTAGACATATGTATGATATAAACAAAGGCAACATCAAAAGTGAAAATAGAACTAATAAACAACAGAAGATAGTTATTGACGACCATGCTGATTAAGCCAATTAAAAAATATGTGAATCTATTAATTAACAAGTGACCAAGAGCAGACTCATGCTTGAAAGTCTCTTGGTGCCACAGCGCCGGGGAACAACATTTTTTAAAGGGAAAAAACACAATTACATCAGTGTTAGATGGGGTCAGAGCAACATAAGTCTTTTTGCAGAGCTTAGTGGTTTTTCCAAACACCACATGACAATTATTTTTGGCTTACACTTCCTCTTAGTTATTTTGGTTTTATGTTTTAACCAACACAAACATTAGTAATTTGAGTTAACAGGTCTGGATCATGGTCAAGAACATAGATAGTCTCAAAAGCATTGACAAGGAGGTGGTGGCTACTAGGGGAAGGGGGGAGTGGAAGGCTGAGGATTGTTGAGGCAGGAACAAAATAGAGCCAGGGCAAGATGGTGACACTTTAGCAATTTTGCTACAATGAGCAATGAAACCAAACCAAGGCCATAGAAATTCCCTCAGAAGAACTGAAGAACTAATAGATCCACTTATGAATTCTATAGAACCTTTAGAAAAGGACTAACATAAATGTCCCTCACATTGTTCCATAACTAGAGAGGGAAGGAATGCCTCCTCAACTCACATGAACGAAAGGAAATGCTCAAATTAAACATTCCTACAATTGGCATTGCCCTGACACCAAAACCAGATAAGGACAGACCTACAAAGTAACATGCAAAAACACTTTTTTTGATGAATGCCACAGATATTCATCTATGATGAACATAGACACAAAAGCCCTAAAAAATATTGCAAAATTAATTTCACTTTAAAAAGTTCACGTGCCAAGAAAAAACTGCCTCTTGTTCTTGAGTGCA